CCCCGCCAGTGGCGGCGGCGGCGGCGGCGAGACCGGCAGCGGGGGCGCCATCGCCATCGCCTGCGGCTGCATCAGCGGCTCCGGCGTCCGGCTCGGCGCCTTGCCCGGCGTCGGCAACGGCCGGCGTCCGGCGAACTGGGGCGAGGGCATCGAGTGCGGCGTGGGCGAGGAGTACGTCGTCGTCGTCGCCATCTTCGTACAGAACCAACGACCAATCCGGCCCTCTCGCACGCTCTTTCACAAGACGGCTCGCGCGGTCCGCGTCTGATGCGCCCGAAACTCTGCTCCGTCCATCACCATCAATCACACATCATGCCCGGCGCTCAGCATATCATCGACTCGATATTCGAGCCGTTCGACCAGCAGAGTCTCGTAGACTCTTTTGTCGGCGAGGAACAGGCCGACGACGACTTTCGCGAAGGTTTTACTCGACATCTTTTCCACGCCTGAAGATCACGTAGTCATGCGCATACAGAGACAAAGTTGATGGCGCTCGAGCTCATCTGCGCTTTCCATGCGTGGGCGACTGCGCGGGGAGAGCTCGAGGCTCGCTCAGCCACAGAGTCCCTCGATAAAGAGCTGGACGCCATCGCTGCCGTCGAGCAGGAGCAGGGTAGGCCGCTTTTGGTTGGCTTCCGCACGAGGCTTGCCTGACCACCTGTACAGAGCAAACACGGCTGCGCCTGCAGCAGTTCGTCGCGAGCATCCGCGACGCGCTTCTTCTCATCTCCGGAAGCTTCGTCTGATTCACCAACGCATACGTCCATGGACCTCTCTCACCTTGCTCTCGTGTCTCGCTCTCCTACATCATCGCTTTCATGGACCTTGATCTCGCTCAACCCTGCAATCAATCACCCACTGTATCAACTCTCATCATCCTGTATTTCTTGGCCCCATCGCACGCTTTGCACGAGTACCGCTTCACGACGCCTGTACCCGTATTGTACCTTCCTATTGTGCATACCATCAATGTTCCGTCCTCGATCCGTATGCGTTGCTTTGGGAGCGCAGTCACACAGTGGTGACATGACTGTTCAGGCAATGCAGTTGCCTATATCATCGCAAGAATGGACTGATGCGCGTGGTGACAACGCGACACGCGATGCATTAGGTACGTACTACAAGTATCCATCGTTACACACCTCAAACTCACCAAGATACGTACACATTACAGCTGCCATCGCTAGGGCGACCTTACTTCAAGCCACTACTAGTATCTATCCCCCGCTTCTCCGGGCGGGTGAGCACCGCAGCGTCGTTACAAACTTCGTATCACCCTCTTCTCCCGCCGACCCACTCCACGTCCACCAAATGAGGCCTCGCGACGGGAAATTTGCGCTCCATTCCAGCGATGTTGGCGCTGCGAAGTGTACGAGAGCTCTACACCCTCTTCCTGTTACAGCCGCCGTGTAGTCGCTGCTATCGCCCGTATCGCAGAGTGAGATCCGTTGTATTCCGTCGTAAGCTTCCGTGTGGCGCTGAGGTGAGGTGAACTCGGGCAGGTCGGTGTGGGCGATACCAATCGTTTTCTGCATCCTGTCGCTGACTCTCCATATGCTACAGGCCTACTTCTCGTAATCCCCACAAGCTTGATCCGACAACCTGGAAGCTCGGCGTCGCCTCCCTACAGCGCCGGTGCGATGCTGTACTCAAAGCACGGCTTCCTGTGGGTCTGCATCTCGCCGCACGACACAGACTCGTCAGGGTACCATCGTCAAGTGGACATTGGACTTGATACTACCTGTACTTGCTGCGGGCTCAGTAGTGGATGGGTTCGGGTGCGCGAGCGTCGTCTGAGATTCCATCCTCGACAAATCGGGGCCCTCCGCTTCTGTCCGTCAAGGTACACTATCATATCGTGTGTATCCCAAATTAACTATGAGGGTGCTCAATCGTTGACATGATACATCCTCTCTACAGCAGCGTAGCCCAAATGTTCTGCCGCGGCATGATCGAAGAACCAACGCTCCCCTACACGGCAACCGTCCTGGGTCGACTCGCGCGCTACGGCTTACGCGTTCCAGCACTTGCCACTGCCAGCAAAAACCCCGTCGCCATCGTCCATATCGCCCTGATAGCGACATCGGAACTGACGCTCTCACCTTTCTACCCGGGTTGGGACGGCGTGCGCACAGGACGGGGACAGGTCGCGGTGTCGTACGAGGATCGGGCTATACGGCGAACGGGCCGATCTCGGCGGCGCAGAACTACTTTACGCAGTGGACAACTCGGACAGAACTTGAACACTGACGGGACCGCGACGAGAGCCTGAAGGCTTTGCAGGTCATTCGGGTATAAATATGATTACCCCGGGTCAGCTGTGGTGGATGTGTATAGAAGGGTGGGACGCTTATAGGAAGGGTAGCGAATGTGCAGGAATCGAGTCGCGCGCGGCGCGGCGCCTCGCCACCTCGGGGATCACTCCCGCGACCGATGCGCGACGCACGGCTGCCTATCGCGAGCCTACAGTTCGTTTGACTTGATTCTGGTGAGTTACAACAGATTCAGAGTTATCACCTCGGTGGAGCTCAGCAGTGTTCAATAGATACTTACCTGGCTCGAAGTTGGACGCTTTTCGGACATCCCCTTGACTGATAGCAAGTTTGGCGCCGAACCGGTTCGCATGCGGTCTCACGCTTTTGATAGAGCCGTGTCGGCAGATTATTCCTGTAGAGCGTAGCTTCTTCTACTTACTCTGGCCATTATTTCAAGCCTCACGGATGCTACAATATCGTCGAACCGAACCCTCCATAAGGCTCGGTGATTGATGCCCCGGCCACTTTTAACACCGTTAATTAACGGTAGGGTTAGGGTTAGGTTAATTAACCATGTTAATAAACCTGTTAAAAATGTTAACCCAAGCACACCCCTTCTACGGATGAGCAGCGTGCGTGACAGCGTCGCCAACGGATCGCTGGCTGGATGTTCGGCTCTGCGCGTAGACTCTCTGTGTGCGGGCCGCCGCAGCAGTGACCGCCGCGGCGAGCGGAAGCTCAAACGTTTAGCGCCAGCTCGCCAGCGCCGCGGTGGCCGAGCGCCTGTGAAGTCTGGCGTTCGGCCCGAGTTGGGTTGAACTATGCCTCCCCCTCGTCGGCACGTCTGGCGCGCTTCACTACCATCGCGGCTAGGGGATGCTGAAGCAATCTTGCAGGCTACAGTGCGCTATAGGTGCCTCCGCCCTAGGTTAGGGTTAGTTAAGTACATATGGCCCTGGCCCCGGCAGTTTTGAACAGCGTATATTAACGCCGTTAAATAACGGTTAAATATGCTCAGTTAAAAATGGAGCAATAATCACCGCGCCTTAACCCTCCACGAGGGCCACGAACAAGACTACTTAAGTAGGGTTAGGGTTGGCCAAATGTTGGCGCGACATTCAATTTGTTCGCAGTCGAGCGAGTTTGATTTCCTTCCACCACGACTGGTACGCCGGTCATTGCGACCAACCCCAGCCTACTCAAAGAATACCTCGCGACTTGACTGCGTCACTAGCAGGCGGAATAATGTCCTCGACCAAGCCGGCGCGGATACACCGTCTCCCTAATGAATTACTGTCCGAAATCTTCCTGTGCGTGCACGACATGACCGGCGATGAAATGGACGATCCTCTCGACGGAGCTCCCCCGTGCGCATTCCTATCACATGTCTGTCACCGCTGGAGGAGCGTTGCCATCTGTTGTCAGCGCCTGTGGGCGGCTTACCCACGCGTCAGCCATCACTGGACGAGGGCTTGCGTGGAGCGCGCACATTCATGCTCAGTTGATCTCCGCTTTGACGCATGGCATTCTGAGCCGGGAGTCCGCGAGATACACGAACTGGTACTACCCACGATACAGCGTGCAACGACGGTCACCATATACGCCGAAATGGACCGCTATACCGACGGGAGACGAGATGCGACAAGAATCCTGGAGGGACTGGCAGCACATGAGGCCCCTCTATTGGAGGAGCTCAAGATCACGCTTGATCAGGATTTCAGCTGGGACGACTACCACCCGACCACACTGCCAAACTTATTCAAAGGCAGACCCCCACCCAGATTGCATCATGTCTATCTTGACGAGTGTCTGCTCAGATTCCCACACGCAATTTCCTCACCCTCCCTCACGAAACTCACCCTCAACAACTCTTGCCTGTGGTCTACAGTCGACGAAATGATCGAGTTCTTCAAGCTCGTTCCCCAGCTCGAGTCATTCCGATTCGTCTATCCTAGCGATCACAATCACGGCTTCTCAACGCAACCCTCGCGCATCCATCCGTTACGTTGCGTCTCACTCCCCAATCTCGACGACTTCAATGTCGAAGCCTCGCTGGACGCTGGACTGGCCATGTTCAGCTATATGGCCTTCCCACAGGAAGCTCACCTCGCATTAACGCCGAGCGACTGCGAGTCTTCCTCCCTGGACCGCTACACCGAAGACGAATTGGGGATCCTCCTCGCCCGCGCCTCTTCCGCCGTGCGCGCCCACTTCGCAGAGCGCATTGAGGAGGATGTATCCTTTAAATCTGTTACCCTCCACATTAGCCATATCTCGGCCGCGCGATTACATCTCGGCATTCCGTGTGGCCTTCGAGGCGCGCCTCAAGTTCGCGCAGCGGCGGCATCTGCGTACACGACCATACCCATCATCGCAGACGCGCGGTATCTCGCCATCGATGGAGAGATGAGCGTCTTCAATATGAGGGACCTTGCGTGCTTCAAGCACGTCGAGCACCTGCACGTCGAAGGCATCGCGTCTGTTCTACTGGACTCTGCGTTGCACGATGACGACCCTTTCATGGATGGAATGTTTCCCGAGTGTACAGGGATCACGATCGGGGGTTTCGACTTCGTCAAGTGGCCGGGTACGAGGCGCGATGGGTGCTTAGTACCCGAAGGCTTTGCGCAACATTTCGCGGACGTACTGCATAGGTGGTGTCGGCGGGCCGGGTTTGAAGTCGGCGTCAAGTTCAGGCGATGTTTCCTGTCACCTGATCAAGTGGCCCTCTTCAGAGAGAAGTTTGGTCCCCGCTGTATAATACGTGTGCGTTGATTCGAGGACTTCACACCCTTGTACCGTTGCTTCAAGGATACATGTACTACCATCACCGATATTGTCACGCTTGTACAATGCGAAGGGCTATTTCGCACCCGACTCGAGTCAGTCATACGCGCGTGAAACATAAGGCTGCCCGATATCCAGTACACAGAAGAAAAGACAAAGTACTACTAGTGGGTGTATGCTCACAACGAGCATAGCCTTGATAGACCTTGATGCTACTCACGGTCGAGGCAATAAATGATCCGGCCGCAGTTTGCAACTTCGAACCTCGACCACCACCACCATCAAGCGCACCCAGATATCAGTTCGCATTTCCCCATTTTGGACCTTCGGAGATCCTAAGAGCGACGAGCAACGCCATACTTACTCTCCTTATAGCAAACCGAGATAGCAAGAAGCTCGACCAACACCCTCACCGGTGTATTCGCCTATATAATGTCCGAGGAAGCTTCTGCAGGTGTAGCCTTCGCATGGATCAATCGACTACCGGACGAGATCCTCTCCGAGATTTTCGTGTACACATACGACATCCGTCTTATTGACCCTGACTCGCGGCCCGTTCATCGACAAGGCCCTCCTTCAGGCGCTTTCCTGTCGCACGTCTGCCAGCGATGGAGAAACGTGGCCCTTTCCTGCCAATATCTCTGGGCTTCTCTCCCATGCGAAACCATCGAGTGGACAAAAGCTTGCCTGGCACGCGCACACTCGGGGCCGGTAACTTTGCGCTTCAATCCGCTTTGGAACGCCGACACTGTCAATCCACTTCTGCTCGGGCCACGCCGCCTCATTTACCCTGCGATCCCGAGAGCCCGCGTCATCAATGCGTGGCTCGAGTTTGGTCGCCCCGAGAACACGAACGCATATACCAGCGAAGTCCTGCAGGCCCTCACGCAAGAGGCTCCCTGGCTCGAGGAGCTCGAAATCACCTTGGATCGGCCCATGGACTTCGGTTCGAATGAACCACGATTCGTGCCGACACTCTTCGGAGAGAAGCCGCCACACAAGCTTCGACGGGTTTATCTGGAGGGTTGCGCACTTAACTTTCCTCCAACGATCTTTACGGCTGCGCTCACCGTACTCCAACTCGGCGAATCGCGCCTCTGGACGAACATGGACGAAATGATCGAGTTTCTATGGACCGTACCCCTCCTGCAAGACTTCTCCTTCACATATTCCGGCGATCTGATACCATATGGGATCGACGCAGAACTCTCGCGTACACATCCCCCGCGATGCATCTCTCTTCCACACCTGCGCAGTTGGCAGGTCTCGACGTCCTTCGTCGTCGGCATACGCATGTTCAGTTACTTCGCATTCTCGCCCGATGCGGAACTGCGTATAATGGTCGACGACGGCGAATCTGGCGAACCTGACGCGCAGCGCTATACCGACGCGGAATTGGAAGGCTTAATTGCCTTCGGGTCAACGGCCGTCAGAGCACACTACGCGGAGTACTCGCAACATGGCGGACATTATGACTCCATCGAGCTGGGCTATCGATCAATATCCCATGATCCCTGGAGGATGTCCCTCTCAATACCCGACGTGGATGCCCACGACGCACATCGGCTTCGTGCGGCAGCCGCTGCGATGTACCTCTCCATCCCGGTCTTCGCGGATGCGGAGACATTGACGATTCGTTCGGGGTGGAGGGGCTTCTCTTGGGACGATATGTTATGCTGCGAGAATGTCAAGCGGCTTCACTTCGGTGGGATTGCGATATTGTCGTTTGAGATCGCGTTGCGTGAGAGAGAGATGCCGAGCCATCCCTTGTTCCCCGCGTGCAGCGAAATCGCCATCCGTGACTTCAACTTCGCCGAGTGGCCGGGGCAAGTGATGTACGATATCTACACTGTACCGGCCGACTTTGAGGTACGGCTTGTCATTACGCTGCGATTATGGCAAGCGGACAGAGACTCAGAGCGTAATTTGCAAGTCAATCTTGACAATTGTGCGCTGGGCCCCGAGACCATGGGAGTCTTCCAGTCAGCATTTGGCAAAGACTATGTGCATACGTCGTAGGGCATTGAAATGGCACAAACGGGATTGCGTAAAATGGTGATCTGTGGTGAGTACTTTGTGTTCCTCCTCAATATTGGTGACCGTCGCTGAGGTTTATCCCATATCAGGTCTAAGCATTCCCAAGCCGCGCTCTCAGGCTGAAAATGGGCCAATGTGGTATGGAGACAGTGAGGGGAGTATACAGCATGTCTGGGATATCTGTTATATACAACGTCTTTTGTTGTCACAGTGCTAGCGCTTGTGCAACCGATTGTACTCCTCGGTGGCATTGATCATCCGAGATGAGTGCGCGCTCGGGATGGGGTTAGGGTTAGCTTGAGTCGACCCGGAGGCCGGCATTCGTATGTACCGCTTTCAAGTTGATATTGAAGGACATGGAGCTCGTTGAAACTCGACCCAATACTGTGATGTGTCATCGACATCGCGCTCGCGTCTAGCAGCGCGTAGTGAATGGTCGGTGTTTTTCCGGCCAGCGGGGGTGTTGCCGCGCTCTCGCTTCTTCTCTTAGCGCCGACGAGTTCGACGCCTAACACCGCTAAATCCGAGTCAATATGAGGTCGAGACTGATCCAAGTAACTCACTTATGTGGGGCAGCGGGGCGCACATCCCGATAAGACGTTCACATAGTATAAGAACGGCGATCACACATGCCTGCTTGAACGAAGATAGCCGATTGTACCCCCTTCAGTTCTCCTGGTACGCCACAGACAAACCAAGCAGCAGACATGCAAGGCCTGTACATGGACCCAAACCTTCCCGTGACCTATCACCACGAGTGAGTCTAGTCACATAACGGTCGACTTTGACTGATCCCGAGTCTTCTTTGCTATCAGTATCTATCCCGCCATCGACCCTCAGACCGCTTGGTCCTCGAAATCGTACGCTGGGAAAGTCGTCCTCCTCACAGGCGCATCCCGCGGTATCGGGCAGACCCTCGCAGTCTTCTATGCCAAAGCCGGCGCAAGCCTTGCACTCGTGGCGCGTTCCTCTTTGGTTGCTACAGAGAAAGCTGTGCGTGCCGACGCCCCAGATGCGAAGATAGCCAAGTTCGCTGCGGATGTTACAGACTCAAAGCGCGCGAAGGAGATCGTGGTGGAGACGGTGAAGCAGTTTGGGAAGATTGACGTCGTGATAGTAAATGCCGGGGCTGCGAATCCGCTTGGGAAGCGTGTTGGCGAGATCGATCCCGATGCTTGGTGGTCTACGTTCGAGGTGAACCTGAAGGGCGCCTTCAACTTTGTAAGGTACGCGTGCTCAGCGCATCCACCGGCTGCCGACCATCTGGGGCTTATACTTGCTGCAGTCCGGCATTGGAGCACCTCGAGAAGTCGAAGGGCCGTGTCGTCTTCATGAGCAGCTGTACAATGAACGGGCGATGTGCAACAGCGTCTGATTACATGGTCAGTAATACATTCGTTCGTTCCACTTGACCACAGACTTACCGGGATCTCAGACTAGCAAACTCGCAATCAGCCGTCTGGTCGAGTTCATCGCACTCGAGTATCCCACGGTACCTACGTTCTCCCTTCACCCCGGTTCCGTCGCGACAGAGCTATCCTTGACCAATGTCACTGACGCCAAGGCCGAATGGTTCGAGGACAGTCCCCAACTAGGCGCCGGAGTGGCGCTTCAGCTCACTGCTGGTCGGTTTGACTGGTTGAGCGGAAAGTATGTCTTCGCTGATCTCATTGTCGAGTCTTCTCGCTGATACATGATAGGTACATTGACGCGACTTGGGATCTCGGCGAGGTCGAGCGCGACTGGAAAGAGAAGATTATCGAGAAGGGCCCGTACGGGTCTCTCGTTACGAAGTTTGCCTTGCCTTGACGCGACCTTGATGCCTCTGCAAGCTGCGCACAACAAGTGAAAGTGGAGGAAAGGCTCATGCACACGTGGCGCTCCAGAACAACAGCGAATATATATTTTAGTACATTTGATGTACACCCGTCTACTGCGTTCCCGTGCGCACCGAAGAAATGCTCGCGAGTGCACTTTTGCCGGTGAAGACGGTAGGGATCGCCATAAGGAAGCCATATAGAAGGACTTGGCCGAGGCGCAACTCGAGCCAGTACCACAGCAGAATGACCTCCATCCCAGTGAGGCAAGCGGTGAAAGGAACAATGCTTGGGCTGAACAAGCGCGGAACGCTAGGGCGGACGATGCCCCACTATGTCGGGTATTAGTACATGCACGTACAAAGTAGATGAAACGTACGAGGCCCAGCAAGACGACCCATGGTGCAAGGACTAGTCCAGCGAAGGTCGCACTGATGAACTTGGGAGGAACCTTCGGTTCTGGGCGGAATGTGTGGGTGATCTCAGGTCGCAAGGCAAATGCCGTCGCGTCAGGGTGAGGCACGACGGGTGCCGATGGTGGTACAGCCAAGTTGAAGAGTTCAAAGCGCGCGGGATCATGTGTGAACGAGCCGAGGATCAAGGAAACGGCGAGTGGCGCGTCGCTAGTCGGCGGTAAAGAGCTCGGAGGGCGTGCCATGTCCTATGTATAGTATTCAGTACAGGATTACATTCGGACTCTAGGAAGATATCGCTTACAAGTTCGAACTTGGCCTTGCCATTGGATCCGACCTTCACTGGTTGAACGCCCTCCTCGCCGGTTGTAGCATCGTGGAAACGGATGAAGGATTGGTGCGGTTGCACGCCAGCGTCATCCGCGACGACCTGGAAGGTAAGCTTGAGCTTATCCTTCTGGCCTAGGTTGAGGGTTTCTGGCAAAGCCTCTTTGAGCGAGAGCCTAATATAATGACTTCAATATACGCTCGACGCGTCCAGGTTCACAAGTCACGCACTGTTCACTCGCTGTTTGGGTTCCCTCGGAGGAGGTGATTACCACCTTTGGGTTGGCAAGAGATAATTGGGCAGCATACGTCGCTGCAGCCAGCAATAGCGGCACGGCCAGGGAGAGGGTGCGGACCATCGTGGTCGTTGGTAGACACGTCGCGCGTCAGTGCGCAGCGCGTCTTCGCGTCGCACGTCCATACGTGGCTACAACTTGCTTCTGGCGCTCATCACAAGTATCAATTCTATTTCTGGCACCCAGAGTGCCACCGATAGCCCAGCCTCCGAATGCGGAGGCTAGTACCTATTGGAGCTGGAGTCTACACAGAAAGCACGTTTTGCTTCGATGGTTTGCATATCGCTCTTCTGAACCGCGCAAGGCGATATGTGGTGATGGTTATTTGCGAAGATCACTCTCAGCCCTCCGTTCGCTCCGAGCTCACAAATGGCTGCAGTATATCGACGCGAAGTGAACATTTTTCCGTCAATGCAACGACGCTGCTTCGGATCCTGGTCCGTCGGCACGCCCAGCGTCCGGTGGGCATGCATTAGTTCGCAATTTAATCGTCATACCTATAAAGGCCTGGTCCTGCGCTATCTGAGGCAATGGACGCTTTGAGATCCTCTCTCACCTATCATGTCGTCTATAGCCAAAGATTCCCACTTGTGGGACGAGGAAACCCGACGCGCGGCCCTGGCGAAGCACGATAATTCGGAAGCATATTCACCCTCGCCCGACGAGCTCGAGTTCCTCAAGATCCAGACGGGCATTACGGATGAAGAACAACTGAAGGCTCGCGTTCAAGATGTACAGCGTCGTGCGTATGCGGTATGTGAATCTTCGCCGCGCTTTCTCGGCCCACGTCGCTAAACGGGTACGATAGGTTTACCCATACGTGTGCATACACCGCTTTGCCTTCACGAGGTCTGTATTCTCTCAGAGACACTCGCAGGTGATCTTATCGTGACGGTTCATAGGCTGAAGATTGCGAATCACTTCGCTTATCCCCAGCTACTGGCGTTGCCGAAGTCGCGGCCTCGCGCGATCTTCCTCGAGGTTGGCTGCTGCTGTGAGTAGACCGAATCGCTCATTGTGCTATTTATAAGTACTGAATCCATCTCTCAGTCGGACAAGATCTCCGCAAGGCGATTGCGGATGGCTATCCCGCGAAGGATACGATCGCATCGGACTTGCGCCAAGGTATGGTTGAGCAGCTCTGGCATCCACTGTCCTCACTGACCCAATCACACTTCTAGGATTCTGGGACGTCGGTCTTGATCTGTTTACCGCGGTCCCTCCTCCGCCTTTCGTACAGGCGGATGTCTTCGAGTTGAACAAGGAGACGTCTGCGCCTACGCCAGAGCCGCCCGCCGACCTCAGCACCCTAACGAGCCTCACTCCTCTGCGCGCACATGTTGCCGCCATTCACGCATCGTCGGTTTTTCATCTCTTTGACTTCGAACAGCAAGAGGCTTTTGCGCGCGCACTTGCCAGTCTACTCAGCAACGAACCAGGCAGCATGATATTTGGTGTACACTCGGGACAGCCGGTCAAGAAGACGGTCAAGAGGCTTATCAACGGGGCTGGGGAACAACATGCGCATAGTCCGGATAGTTGGCGGGAGATGTGGGAGGGTATTTATGGGGAAGGAGTGGTGAAGGTGGAGAGTAGAGCGGTGGAGCGGCCGGACGCGGCGCGCATCATGGCATCGACAGACAAAGTGTATCACCTTGTCTGGTGCGTTACGAGACTTTAAAGGCGTGATTGAGCAAGCATGGTGCCCGGGAGCATGCAGTACAGGGGAACTTGATTCAAGGGCATATGGTATGAATACCGATAGCTCGCGACATCGAGCGATTGCGAGTACACCGGCTGGTACAATTCTAGGACGCATCGGCGCCACTGCGCGCCCTTTCGGCCTCTGATTCGATCAGTGCTTCATACTCTCTTTCCGCCGAATAGGATGCATCTAGCACAACTGATTGGAAAGCCTATAGTAGTTAATTAGCAAGATTAAACAACGCTGAAATGCGAATGCACTCGCTTCCTTAAGGACACGATGGTCGTAATCCTTGAACAACTCTGACCCAAGAAGTAAGGCGACGAAGAAAGCTGGATCGTAATCTCGAGGTCGATGCGACATCCTTTCGAAAGACTTCTTGACTCGCTCATACATGATTCTCGTGGTAGAAACATCTGTGCCTCGTCTACCTATGATGATGGCTAGGTACGCTGTCAGCGTCTGCTCTTGCTAGAGAGCCTAGACTCACCCAAAACTATCAGGTGCGTCATCACGATGGGTTCCAACTGCTTCACATGCGCCTCCCATTCCTCCCGGCTGATGGCGCTGAGCTCTACCTTTCCAGAGAATGCAGAGAAGATTGTCGGACGCGGACCATGTTCAGCCTCGATGGTGGCAGATGCCCGAGTAGGTGGCACATCGACAGGTAACGTCTTGATAAACTCCTCAAGAACCTATAGAATCATTGATATAGTGTGTAGCGGAGCGAACGGAACGTGTAACAGCGTGGAAGCTGACTCTCACTTTGATTCTAGCAGTGCGCGGCGGGTGTACGGGAAAAAGCGGTTTGATGGGACGCGTCAGCAAGTCCATGAGCTGATCCAGCGTCACAAGCCTCTGGTGCTCTTCAACGGCTTGAAAGAAACTGAGTGAGTGTCAGCTAACAGAGTAAGAGACCGACAATTTGAGAACTTGCCGAATGAGCGCCCGGGGATGAAAGCCTGCCCGAGTGAGTAATAGTGTACCTACCCGATCAGCTGCGAATGTTATTGAGGGAAGTTTGTCACTTTTCAAAGAGAAAGCACACACACCTTCATATTCCATTCGCTGCGGAAGCGTTAGTCTCCATACATGGATTGCCATCATTGGGATCGCGAAGAGAGGCCTGAGGAAGAAAAAAAGGCCTCCAGCAAGGATATATAGCTCATTGACGGCTCGAGTCTCGGATGAATGCTTCAGAAGGCCGTGGGCAATCTCTAATGTCTGATCAGTGACGGTGGACTGCAGTGGAGATGAAGATGCTGATAGAACCATGTGCAATAACTCCAGCGATGGAATCATCATCTGACACAAAAGGAAGAGTGTTGGTATTGAAAATGAGTGTAGCGTCTTTCATATCGTAAGCAATCAATAGAGCAGAATGGCAGAAACGCGCGCACCGTCCTCAGAGCAAGAAGCATATGAATTTCCGCCGTGTACTACGAAGAGACGCCACTGATTGTCTGCGCTTGTAGATCCCGCCACATCCTTTTCATCATCATAGGTTCCATCCAAAGCAACGAGATAACCCAGAGCGTTTGCATCTACAATGCGCTGACAGATGGAGAAGATCCTTCGGGCGACGGGGTGATCCTTAGGCAACGGTTCACCTCCTACTCCGAGCGCCCGGGCCACGCAAATTGATTTCATGCGCTGGTTAAACCCTCTCATCAGCTATCTAGCCTGATGTTGGCGACTTGACCAACCTTGTGTTCGAGATCCGATTGGAAGACAGCTTCAATGAAGCGCCAGCGACCAGTGTAAGGTGCCGCGTCGGGGCTGGGGAAACATGTGAGCACCAAGATACTGCGGTTAACGTTATAACTCACAGCAGTACATATCCCGTCCGCCACACTACAAATCCTATCCAAGCCAACTGTATGATTATCAACACTGCTTCAAGTTCCTTCTTATATTTCTTCGCCTTCTCCGCGAATGACACCGTAAACGAATTGTTGGGCAGCCGCTCAAAGAAAAACGAGAACGGTATTCGATCGGCAGAAGATTGTGGTGCATTCTGTGACGAGTTTCCTGAGCGGAGAAGTCTTGTTCGATGAAGCTCGCGGGATGGTGCTGGCCGTGGATGTCGAGCTGGCGAGAACAGGTGCTGAGGATTGGTGCCTGCTGTCCGTCTAAACCCAAGAACACGATAGGCGCGGGTTGTAGACAACATAGCAGACGAATTCAAGCAGACGGTCAGTCGAAAATGCTCTTCTGCGAGCCATTCTCAACCTCAGCGCTTCAGCGGCTGCGACAACGCGTCTGTGCGGCATCCCGAACGTGAGAAGGGGGGGACCCACGAAGCACAAACGAGGCAGGACAATTAGGTATCTGCATGGCCGCAAGCTGTCTGCTGACTTCGTTTGTCGAGCAGCAGGGTTCTTCAACGGCCGATGGAGAGAGGATGCGTCCTGGTTTGTTTCTACAGTATACATCGCCGGGATCATGATGGTTGGGTCGAAATGGGCGACGTTTCGTCTCGAGACGCGCCTCGGCCCGTTCATCCGGAGCGCCCGCTTAGGTTAAGGTTAGAGTTTCCCTCGCGGCCCGCGGGATCGCGTTTTGTCCGAACCGTCATGACGCGCTCTTGGGATGTTAGTCGAGTCTACACATACCTTCACCACTCGTCTCTAAGAATGAAGTGGATGAGCTCACCAGTACTGGCGTCGGCTACCAGCTGGATGACCTGAAGAAAGGTTCCGCGATGCATATTGTGGCGTGTGCATGAGACTCCGGCCGAGAACACCGATCCACCTCCCCTCGACCGTCTCCGACTTCTCACTTTCTCTTTACGATAGCGCGATGACATACAGTATCGGCTCAGTGCCGCTGCTATACATACAATCAAACTGTCGAGCACGCGTTTACACCTGGCACTCGTTTCAGCGGGAGAATTCTGATGAGTGTTGCCCGACGCAAGTCCGACGGCACCTTCAACGTCCGGTGGGCATGCTCTATCGGCTCTAGTACGTGCCACGATCTATATAAAGCGCTATCTATAGCGATCTAACTAGACTGCAGTACCCAGTCCCTTCCCAACCAACGATGTCCGGTACAGCCAAAGACTTCCACTCGTGGGACGAAGAAGCTCGTCGCGCGGCTCTCGCGAAGTTGGATAACTCCACGGCATACTCGCCTACACCCGAAGAGCTCGAGTTTCTCAAGAGTCAGACAGGCATCGCGGATGAAGCTGAGCTGGAGAGACGCGTTAGAGACGTACAACGTCGCGCTTACGACGTACGTGTGCCTCCATTGATCTACGTTGGTGACGGCTTAGTCCATTTGCTAGGTGTATCCTTACGTTTGCATCCACCGCTTCTCGTTCATCAGGTACGTGACGCGTCGAGACTACTGATATGCACCATGTGGGGACGTTCACTCATGGGATGCACAGGCTGAAGATCACACGCCACTTCGCCTACCCCAACCTCCTCGCACTACCGAAATCGCGTTCACGCGCGATATTCCTTGAGGTCGCCTCCTGCTGTACGTATCGTGGGATCTTGACCGAGCACCAGGATCGAGCACTGACTCTTCATTGCAGTCGGACAAGACATCCGCAAAGCGGTCGTAGACGGCTATCCGGCGAAGGATGTAATCGCGTCTGATCTGCGCCAGGGTGCGCTACACCTCCAGAATGCCTCGAACAAGGTGTACTGATTCATCTCTAAGGGTTCTGGGACGTCGGACTCGAACTCTTCGCCGCGAGCACGCCGCCACCTTTCGTACAAGCAGACGTATTCGATCTGAACAAGGAGACATCTGCTCCTTCGCCCGAGCCGCCCGCAGACCTCAGCACCTTGACGAGCCTCGTTCCCCTGCGCGGCCATGTCTCTGCCATCAACGCGTCGGCTGTCTTCCACCTCTTCGACTTCGACCAGCAAGAGGCCTTCGCTCGTGCGTTGGCGAGTCTTCTCGACAAGAAACCGGGCAGCATGATATTCGGGGTACAATCGGGACAGCCGGTGAAGAAGACCGTTCATAGGGCGATGAGCGAGACTGGGGCACAGCATTGCCATGGTCCCGATAGCTGGCGTGAGCTGTGGGAGAAGATATATGGGGAAGGGAAGGTGAAGGTTGAGAGTCAGGTGTGGGAGAGGCCGGAACCTGCGTACACATTGACCTCGGGGGACAAGGTGTACTTTCTCATCTGGTGTGTGACGATATTGTAAGAACATGATGGACCTAGATACTATGATGATCGTATACTTCCTGAAGTCCTTTAAATAGCAGTGTTCGATTGGCGTTGTCCCATATTACTGTCTATCTCTATCATCCGCATGACCAGGGGTCTCTCCCAAGGTATCTTGCAGTTCCAGCTGGAACCCCTATAGAATGTGTTGAGCATAGTCTTCCGTGAGATGGGTTCGAACCGACCTTGCGAAGTACATCATGATCATGATGATTCAACACGCCAGTCCCCATCAGTAAAGCGACTATGAAAGCAGGATCGTAATCCTGCGCAGGAGACACCGTATCGAAGGCCCTTTTTGTCTTCTGATAGAGAGATCGGACGCTGAAGACATCGTGGATGTCCCTTCCCAAGATTCGGCCTGCGTGTGGTATGAGCACATGCTACGTTCATCGTCTGAGAATTGCCTCACCCAGCGCGAAGAGGTGGATGTGATCGATCATGCCATATAACTTGATGTGAGTCTCCCATTCCTCCAAGCTGACTTTGCGAAGATCCTCTCGCCCCGATACTGCAGGCGCAAGTGACGGCCATCTAGCCGTGTCGGCGGTGGCTAGCGAGTGCGCAGGCGGACCCGGCCGGCGCATCTTTTCGATGGCTTTCTGCAAAGCCTGTGCGGTGTTCACTCTCGCATACTAGCATAGAGCTCGATAAGGATCAATCACTGACCTCGACCCTCACCGGTGTTGGTGGGTGAGAAGGATATAGTGGCGTAATGAGAGGCACGAATCGGCTCATCAGCCCGTTAAAGGTAGCAACTTCTTGAACATCATGCTCTGACTGAAGGCCTCTGAGAACAAGTGGACGCTTCGTCAGACTGAGGAGATGCAGGTATGAACGCCGATGACCCACTCAATACCCGCCTTGGGATCATATCCAGCTTGTGCTGCGAGATATGCACCCACTTGATCAGCTATAGAGCGCTATGTCAGACAGATACCTTCCTTGAGATGCAAAGACGCACCTTCAGACTCCAAACGCTGGCGGAGGGGTAAGATCCAAAGCCAGGAGAGAGCCATCGGGGGGCTGAATAGCGTGCCGAAGGCAATGAAAAGAGCACAGCTAAAAGAATACACGCGGTTCCAAGCTCGTCGCTCCGCTCCGTGTTGTAGAATGCCGTGCGCAACTTCTAAGATATCTTTAGCTTTAGCGCCGAGTATTCGAGATTAAATATACCATGAGCGAGTGTTGCCGCAAGGCGGTCGTCGGTCTGGTGGCTCGGTAAAGCGCTGGTGTACAAAAGCAGAGTACTTCCTTCGATCCTGATCAGCTAGCGATATCGAGCCACGGTACGGGAAACGCACCATCTTCCCCACAAGCTGCAGCGGTGCCATAATAATCGTCTGTCTCGTCATGCAATACGAAAAGACGCCACGTCCGATGGGCTTCGTTAGGCCTCCTTTCCTCTTCTAGTGTTGCCGAGTCACCTGCAACGACGCGACCCAATCCGTTTGCTCTCAATATATGATCGCAAACAGATAGCGCACGCTGGACGACTGGATGGTCGACAGGCAGGGACTTTCCACGTCCGCCATTTGCGATACTCTGGTTTATCCTATTGATTACCTAGTACAAGTGAGCTGGCGTTTCGGTGGTAATGGCCTGAAAGAAGGACCTCTTTCTGGTACTCATCCGTGAAACCCTTGGTGACTATATGCCAACGACCCGTTACTGGCGCCCGCTCAAGTCTGTAACATAAGATGCATGCGCGTCAGGCATATCGGTGTTAGGCATATTCACTTGTGCTTACGCAATATAGTATCCCATGTATCGCCCAAACCCATATAGAGCCAGCGACCAACCGAGCAATGAGACTATGAGTATGATGGCCTTTTCGTGTTTCACCGCTTTCTATGGCACGAAGATTCAGTCACGATGTCCTGCCGCATCTTGTGCTTACCAAGACTTACCTCATCGGGACTCGTATGAGGTGGCGGCAAGCTCTTGACTGGGGAGTGAGTGATTGGGGAGACATATAGCCCCCGCGTCGACATCTTCGGTGGCAAACATGCGAGTCGACCGTGTGAGTGAAGCGGCCACGTTTGCAAAGTAGAGACGCCAAAGAATTGCCTTCGCCAGAGGGTATAAACCCTCTCTGTGGGCTTGGCCATAGTTCGCGGGGTAATGTGGCTGTAGTAGTAGGACAGTGGCTGGTTCATGCCATCTGAGAACCCCCGTCCGGCACCGCCAACGCGTCTGCACGGCAGTCAAGACGTGAGAAAGCGTTTAAGCGCGGACCCACAGAAGTCGTGGCTTCATTTGGGCGACAGTTGCGGATTTTCGTGTTGGTTGCGGAGAGCAGTGGAAGACTGAAGCTGGCACGGCGACATGGCACGAGTCGACACTGGCGAGGCGGTAACGACTTGGACATAACAGGTCGACGACTGCTAGGTCATTTTCAAGCGTGAATATCGCTCATGTCGTGCGTCGCGCGCTTCCTTGGCTCGCAGGCGACGACAACGCGTCTCGCCGGCGCGAGACGTGGGAGGAATGAGGCGGACCCACAGACGCAAACCAGCATTCGACCGGTGCGTCGTCAGTTGCTGCAGGCGCTACAGAAGGGATGAATTTGAAAGAGCGCGCATTCAGGCCACTGCGCGCGCAGGATATCGAGCAGCCCGCAAGATCATGACGGTTCGAACGAAATTGGGCGCTTGTCGCCCTTTCGGTTGGCGGGTTGGCTTTGATCGGATTTTGCCGCTTGCGCCTGAAGTTGCTTGAGCTCTTGCTCCAGCCGCCACATCCGTTGGAAAGAGTACGAGATGGAGATGTCCGAGCAGATACTGTAGTACTGTCGCTACAAGAGCTTCATATGATGTTGAGAAACCGAGTATGAGCCATATTCTAGTAGTACGCCCTGCTCAGCGCGCTCTTGCGTCGCGTCGGCTTGCTTGGCCCTACAGACGGCGAACGCCGAGACGTATCGCAGACCTCCAGCCCGCACGCCCGTTTCATAACGCGCTACGATTCCCATCTTTGTATCGGTCATGTCAGAGTCGCATTACCAGAGATAACCGTGCATGAATCATCCGTTTTTGTCAGCGTTAGCACCGAAATCTAGCGTGAGCGCTCGGAGCCGCACTAAGTTGAACCACCACAACTAGCAGCTGGCGGGTATACAATTGAGACAAGGCCACAGCGGGGCCACAGACTAACTACATCCGATTGACGTCGAACTACCGCATCCCATTGTTCAGTTCGCTCCCAGCCTCGTCGAGTGTATTGTGCTTCTTTCGCACAGAAGTCGGCGCACGTCAAAGATCGAGCTGTTTGATCGCCGAAGCCGCCGCTGGACCTGCGCCCCGCTGTCTCGCCGCCCTCGCTTAGTCGACCTCTGCTCCTGCCGTCATCATGGCCACGCTCACCCGCCCGGTCGACGAGGACCTGTTGTCTGGCGCCATAACCGTACCCGACCCCGGTCCTGCACCCGCGCCATTTACTCTGCAGGATCGGCTGGCGATTGCACGGGCGCAGGTCGAGGCGCAAGCGGCGGAACGTTCGCTCGATGGCGCAGCGTCGCGGGACTGCGAGACAGAGGGCGTCGCGCTCGTCCAGCAGACAGTGCTCACGACCCTCTCCGATTTATTATTACCCTCGCCCGCACGACGACACTCGATGCCCGCGCCCTCCTCGGCATCCGCCTCGCCCTCGCCCACCGCCGCATTACGCAATCTCGTCCTCACGCTCCGCGAACGTGCCGCCGGCACAGAGATGGTCGAGGCCGGCGACGTGCGCGCGCTGGACGAGACGTCGCTCCTTGCCGAACTCGGCCAGCGCGTCGAACACGTCGAGCTGCCCGGCGCGGACGGCGATCTGGCGCGTGCCCTGGCCCGTGTACTCGGACTTCTTGATCGGCTCAATAGAGTTGGGCTCGCGTCGCCTGCTGTCGGCGAACACGACGGAGACGGGGATATCGACATCTATTCTACGCTCGCACGACAGCTGGCGGCTTTACAAGCTACGGCTCAGCCCGAGTCCCCGTTACCGCCCGTCCAAGCCGTCGAGCGTGCCTTGCTCTGGGACAGACTCTCAAGCGACCTCGAGACCGTCTTGCAACTCTGCCGCGCCCGCGCTGAGATGCTACCGCCCCCATCACCGTCACTCGACTTTGACGGCTTACCGGCATACTACGATAACGAGGAGAAGGAGCGGGATAACGACAGGGATAAGCCGCCCGTGTACGAGGACAGTCCCGCGGGTGCAGCGATCAGGGCCAGTGCTGCGGACGAGAAGATGAGGATGGACCTCGACGCCGTCACGGGCGCTATCGATCGCCTGTACCGTCTCGCGCCACAACTGCACTCTCAGCGCGCAGAGCTGCGCATCAAAACGCCTACGCCGACTTCGGCGAAGGGAAAGCAAAAGGCGACGCCGGCGGATGAGGCGAAGCTCGATGCGGCGGACTTGGACGGCATGTTGAATCTCATCGGAAGGGCGTCGGCTAGGAAGATGGCGGACCAGACGGCACGGATGGATCCTGGCGTGCTTGCGCGCGCGAAAGAGCGCTCTGAGGCGCAGCGGAACGAGTTTGTTGGGAAGCTTGTCGAGCATGCGGGGTCCCGACGGATGACGGGGCAGGACGCGGCGCCGCCAAGGGAGAGGGATCCAGAGGCGCGGCTGATGACGTTGCCGGAGTTCATCAGGGAGAGTTCGAGAGAGCGGAGAGAAGAGCGAGAACGAGAGGTGAAGGAGAGGGAAGGGCGCGAGAGAGCCAAGACGCCGCCGAATCTGGACAAGAGACGCAGTCTGAAGTCTCTGAGGAGCAGGAGCATGAGCGCGCCTTCGCTATCCTGGTTCTTGCGCCCATCGTCAGGATCATCGTCCCGCCTACGACCATCATCGTCAGGCTCGACCGATTCGGTATCCGAAGAGCCCGAGCCGAAAGAGCGCGCGTTGACTTATGTGGCGGAGCATCACGCGGCGCTTAAGCATGTTCTCGCGTTCATCAGCATGGACGGAAAGCTCGGGCTCGGGAACTTGGAGTATGAGGTTGAGGATGGGGAGTTGGTCGTGAGCGGGACGAGGATGCCGTTGCCTGCGCCTGTTGCGGAGGGGAAAGTCGTGCCGTGGACGCAGGCCCAGGGTCATCTGGAGTTGAAGCTACCGACTACGAGCTCTGCTTCCTCGTCTTCTCGGCCGAATTCGCGTGCTGCAACCCGTACTCCTACAACGCCCAATACGCCACACGATGACGCTGATGAGCCAGCGCCATTACTGGACGCGACGACGCTCTCCTCTCTCCGCCCACATACCTTATCGTGCTCATCCTGTTCTCTACCGCTTGTGCGCACGGGTCACGATGCGCAGTGGGACGATCTACCGAGCGAACATTGGGCGGAACTCGTGGACGCATGGATGTGTCACGGCGATATGGCTTTAAACGAGCGTGTCGCCCGACACGCAAGAGGGATGTGGCCGCGCGATGGGCAGGTGCTTGTCGGCGGGAGCTACGTACTCGTCGGATCAAGAGACGTCGTACAGTCAGGATTGCGGGTCGGGGCGGCCAAGGTACGTCTTTGATGCCACAATCCTCCTCCTATCTCTCTTTTCTTCTCTGGGCGGAAAGAAGGCCGGCGCTGGGCATACCTACCAGCGGCCCGCGCGCCGCGCCTGCAACCGTGTCCTTGAGACGCAGTGTCGCGGGCGCGGAGGGCGCGGGCTTCAATTGGCTGATACAAAACGTCCTATAAAGATCATATGAGCCCGTCTAACAACTCCCGCGTGTGGAGGTCGTCGGCGCGGGGGCTACTTTCGGGCATACATCCCTTCATCCTCTCCTTTCGACTGTCCACACTGTCCTTTCAACCCTCCATTCATGTTGTGGCGCGCAATGCTGACTTGACGCCCGCAGCCTGGCGAGGACTGGCGCTCCGTGCGCTGTAAATGCGGGACCTACTCCGGTCGATGCCAAGACGTCGACAGTGAAGACGGCCCACAAACCGTCTTCCGCTTCGCGAAATACGCCATCCGGCCCATGACCGCCTCAGCCGAGTACGTCTCCCGCGCCTCACGCCGATCCGCACGCAGACGAAAGCTGAACTTGCACCCCAGCCCACCACGGATCCCGCTATCCGCATTCGTACTGGCCGATATGGACGAGCATGCCGCTGCGCACGCGACGTATCGGTTCGTTGTGCTTGACGAGGAAGAAGCGCGTCCGAGATTGTTGTTGTGGTTGTTCAAGCCGAGCTTGAAGCTTGCGTATCGGTTGCCGAAGCATTATATGTTGCCGGAGAGGGACTGTGTGAGGGCGGGCAAGGTGCTGTATAAGATCTTGGGACCGGGCACTCAGGGCGTTGACTTCGCTACGTACGTGCTTCTCTCGTTTGCCCGTCGCTTTGCATCGGCTCACGTATGACTACAGGCTGCTCAACCGATATCCGGGCTTCCCGCAGGCGGAACATCTGATGTACCCGAAGGACGTGTGTACACGGATTGCGGCGCTGTTGAAGGAGAGCACGAAGTGTTACCCCGAGAGCTTGAGGACGATGACGGGACTCGATGTCGGGTGGCTGTTGCGCGCCTAAGCCCTCTCAGTTCGGCTGCCAGCATCACATCGCATGGACTGATTTCTCTTCCCTCATTCGACCTTCGACCATCTAAAGCAATATCTATCCCTTCGTATATATACCACCTACCTGTCGCCTACTTCTTCGCACCATTCTTCTCGGTTCTCATCACTGTCGCGCATCTGCCATCGAATACAAAAGCTGTGGTAATATCACTGCCGAGCGCCGGCCGCTGTAGAGTAACTTAGTCTATACCTGTGTTTTCGTGTCATCTCGATATGCCGATGCCATCCGGATAGCTGTCGCATGAGCGCATCTAGGGTGAGATAACAACGATTGTGTGTACATACTTCCTCGAGCTCTCAGCAGGCGGCCGGCAAATGCCGAACCGACATCAGCCGGGCTAGTGCGCGCACATCGCAGTCTCCCGCTCACCATCATGCGCACTGGTGTTTGGAAGGTGGTCCTCTCGACTACCCGTACAGCCCGATAAGAGCCTCTGCATGCGCGTCTACATTCACGACCACGACGAGGTCGCCGGACTTTGTAGCGCTGAGAATGGCGATGAGAGCGCCCTACACTATGATGTGATCCGCGCGTGTTCATGACATCTCGACTATTCTAAAACTGAAACATGGCAACCCTGCCATCTGTCATGTACACGTTGTTCACGCCTAGACCGTGATTCTCCGGCGCCTGTACAGGGATAAAGTACTTACATCTAACTATTAGTAGGACCGACTTCGAGGTTTATCACCGTGTTCCAACGTCCCGCAATCATTCGAGCATCCCGCCCCGGCCATAAGCTACACGCTTTCATGCCATGTCCGGTTATACGTGCATCATACAAACCCAGCCAGACGGCTCGACCATCTGTGAGGACGTGGCTCCCTACGAAAAAGCCTTGATGGAGGCGACTGTTGGACAGGCCGTCTTATTTTCGCTCCTGTTCTGTACGTCTCCTTGCAAGCACAGTCCGTCTTCATACTTGACATTGGCATGATATCACACACGTAGCTTTGTTGACGACCGTAATGGTCATCACCGTACGCTCGCTCATACGCAATAGGCTGCGCACTCGAACGGAGCGCATGATGTTTTCCCTCCTCTCCGTCATGTACACCAACACCACCATCATGTACGGCTTCTTCCTGTACACGACGCGCCGCGTAGTATCATCCGCCGGCCACTCCGGATCAGTGACCGCCGATGGCGAGTCCCCCGACCAATCTTGGACTATAAACTCGCTCAGAGCCGGGTTTTTCATACTTTTCGCCATCAACGTACGTGTTTCCTGTCCTTGCTATGGTCTGGTACCTTGACTGATCTGTTATCCGCCCTTTTGAATAGACAGTGCTGGGCGATGTGGTACTCCTCCACCGTACGTGGGTCATATGGAGTGGCAGAAGAGTCGTCTCTGCCATTTCCATCATCTTATTGCTCGCTGTTATCGGTGCGCACCCCCTTCATTTGCCCTCTTGATGGTTGAAACAGGAGCACTTACTCCGAGGTATAGTGACCTGGATATATGCCAGTATCAGCAATGGTGCACTCTTCATCTCGATAGTGCCGTCGGCAGCGATCAGCACCTGGGCCACCGGCGCCATTGCCTACAAGTCTTTTCAACACTGGTCCCTGCGCCGCGCGCAAGTCGCTATCGTCTCACGCCGCAGCCGACTTGAGTCGATACTACACATCCTGACCGACAGTGGGATGGTGTACACGATACTGTGGGTGGTACTTCTTGGACTCAGCGTCCACCCGGAATACCGCACCAGCTCGAACACGGTCTACGACGACTCCAGCTCGGGATTCCCGATTGGGTGGCTTCAGGTCCTTATGAGTGCCGTGGTACCCATTTATCCCATGTGGATCATGATGCTCGTCGCCGGCAGTCGAAAGGAAGAGCCAGTAGTCACCCCGGACCTCGGCACGGTTTACCAGCCAAGCACATTCGACATGCGCCTTCGAGAAACGCAGACATCTAAGGAAGAATGTCACGAGCTTCTGCCAGCCTAAATGTAACGTAAAGCGGTGGCCGGCGGACTGTCGGTGTGGCAGGAGCGAAGACGCGTGAGCTGTGGGGGCAGCGGCAGGATGTGGTAATTTGACATCGAATCATCTATGGTAGGGGGCGCATAGAAACCGGGTAGCCGTGCAATGTTCAAGCTCAGAATATAAAATGGGTCTGACTGTTGTCGCCTCAGCCGTGTCTTGAGGTGGTGGTGGTAGAAAACCAGAACGTCCTTCGTCACTCGTGGGCCTGGTGCGCGCGGAAACCTTTGCTTTGTGACCACCATGAGGTCTATTGATCGTAGCGCTCGAGCCGTTTACGGGCAGTCAATGGGTCGGGACGCCCGAGCGCCTTAACCGCGCCCATCACGGTCATCCGCTGACCATCAGCTACACTTACCTGCACTGCTCATCACTACTCGTACATATTCCGTTCATCAAGAGCAGTCCCCGCTGTCATGATGCGAAGTCTGAAGGACCTCAGGTCAGCGGTAGAGGGCACGAGAGGAAACATAGGGTTAGGGTTAGCAAGTAGCGCCGCGCCACACGTCAGCGCGTCTTGTCCCAATCCATCATCAGGCCGCCTCGAAGCTCGGGGTTTCACACCACACACTGGGCCGTGCTTGTCGGGCCAGCAACGGTTGTCAAGGCGATCTTTGAATCTGCAATGTACCCATATAGGGTATTGATCATACCGAACTGCGGCGGCAAGTCAAGGACCGGATATGGACGGGCTGCGAAACACACAGCAAGTGGCGTCTGACGGATCTCCCATGGCTCACCCAGATCCAACTTGCCTCACTCCGTCGACTAGCGTATCCTTCCGCCGATAGATCTCACTATGCCCTCTCATCCAGCGCTCTTACGGCACTTCCTGAGGACGCTACGATGGCCCCCTGCTGTCCGACGCCTTATGCGGATCCTCGTCGCACTCGGGAGATTGGTCATATACCATGGCTCATCCATCTTCAGGCCATTGCGCAAGCTTCTACTGTCGAACACCAGCCGGCGAGAAGAGGGGGAGGAAACGACTAGTCACAGCACAACTGATCCTGTGCATCTAGGTGTCGAGGTCGCGCCTTTCGCGAGTCGTGAACCCCATTCGGACGACAGCCCCGCTGGACAATGTGTGCAAGATGATGTACCCACGGCGAGAGACGCTATTTTCTCTCGCAATCTTCCCGTCCGCTCGCGAAATGACATTCATGCTCCTTTTGATCCCTCCGCTGTCGAGGAACCGGCCGATTTCGCCCCATCATTACCCTCCGTGCCACAGGGACATAACATCACGGAATACATGCCCCTTGAGACCCCACGATATATCAGACAAGTACCCAAACCTAAGAAGCGGCCCAGGTTGAAGATCCCTCAGCTCTGTTATACATTCCCCTAGTACGTGTCTTTGTCTCATACCTGATCCAGTACTAACACCCCATCTGATCTAGCTCCCACAGGAGCGAAGACCCTGACCTTCGCGGATGGCAGCCCCGCATGCACCCGGAGGGTGCCTTATACTTCTACCACCCCACTAAGGTCTCATCTATCGAATCGTATGCTCCTGAAATATGCTGAATCACAGACTCCAGCGAGCGTTTACGGAGGTCTACCTGTACAATGAAGCGTATCTGGACGAAACCGAGATGCTGGTGGACTTCATCAACCGAACCGTAGAAGCGTTGAGCGCGGAGTTGCCACGCGAATACGATCTTGTCGTTAACATTGAAGAGGATCACGGTCAAGGTCGCGAGAATATGTTGTGGCAATACTACTTCGTGAATCATGAAACGAGGTCCTTGTTCTGGTTGCGTCCTTATAAAATCGAGGACAAGCCGATAAGCCTGGCGCACTTCAGTATGTGCCTTGATCATATAGTTTGAAGCTCACGCGGAATTCGTTCTAGGACTACTTCTCGAGAGTTGGTACTGGTGGGAGTCAAGTTCATCTCTGATTGGCATGCGCCTAACTACCACCTTCACCGACAGGGAACATGTCACTCTATTTCCTGATGGTTTCCCCTCGTACAATACTGCGGTCGACGAGCTTGTCGGGGTCCTTACTTTCTTTTGCATTGGTGCGTACCCGAGCCGTCTGGGTCACTTCCAACTGACCTGATAGTTTACAGACAGCACCACATCTCTCTCGTCAATTGTGCCTTATCCTCGCGAGGAGCTGATCGGAATGATTGGATTGCTCAATCGAAAAGGTTACACTCTGTTCATGTACTTGGCCATTCCACAGCATGATTCCATTCCCACAGATCCCGGCGCCGGCGGTATCCTTGCCAATACAGCTGCACTTGGCCGCATGATGTCCATCTTCTGTGCGTGGAGTTTAGATCCTGTGCTTACCTTCATTGATCTGTATGATTCAGACCAATGGCGGTACACATTTGGTCACGGTCAACTCTACGCACGGCTCGATCGAACTGACACTGTTCTCGATACTTCAGACCGACAGCGCTCTTGGCTCATGGGGACGCTACGCCTACTCCTATTCTATGCACCAGAAGTACAACTTCGAGAGATCGAGAACCTTTACGTGGATCGGACTGTCATTTCCTACTTGCGAGAGCGGCACGTAGTGAAACTTCAAAACGAGTGGTCGGAATTTGTGCTCTACGTGAGTTGATGTCACCTCAGTGCCTTGAAATCGAACGCTCAAAGCGTACGCGTCTAGTCTACAGTTGTGTGAGTTGGGTCGGAATGAGGTTGACACAGAATGATGACTGAATAATATGGGCACAGACTCGCAGCGAACGTATCCTGTACGTTGTCAATCCCAGTCGTTCAAATAGCTCATTGCCTGGCGATCTCTTATAGTGCTATCCGTTCCCGATGTCATCCGGTTTCCCGGCAGTGATAACACACCGCCAAGTGATGCTCAGGACTATCTTCGGCCGTTGCGTTCTCCCGCCGCGATCGCAAGCTATGTATCAATATTATTCAGCGTTGGAAGCATCATACTAGGCCTCCTACTCATCCGGTATCATCGCACGCGCGACCTTGCGAATCCCGTATGGCTCTTTTCTCATCACCTTGCTTGTCCCGTATGACGTTGGTTAACAACATCTATGACAGACCAGGTCCGAGATGGTTGATGATGAAGGGAAGCCGGACGTGGAAGATTGTGGCTCGGTCCAAGAGGAATCGGACTCGGAAACTCCCAGCCCGATTCCAGATCACGAACCCCTCGCTATCCTCTTCAGTCTTCCTTACGCTCTTCTGATATGGGCGTACGTACTGCTCCATCCAAGTCGGGAGAATGAACTTGACGCTGATATGAGCAACTTCTAGGATGCTCTCCTTCACAACTAGCATTCTGAACTTTACGCTCAGCAATACGGACACCACAACGCAATCTGTAGTCACTGCTGTTGCCTTTGTCGTTTTGTGTCTGACTCTCTGGTGTATCATCACCTTCTGGCAAGCCTCGTGGCGCACCCAACAGTGGTGGATGACTGTGAAACACGCGTTGATAGGCAATATCGCCATGACTGGAATTCCGAAGGGGTGGTTGCAGCGGCAGTCGGGTCTGCTTGTGGCAAGGATACTGAGAGTAGATGCGTCCCATAACAGTAGCGTGTAGATTCATTTGTCTGGCCGGTTGATAACGTGCAATTATATCGGAGAGCTAGAGAGTCACCGCGCGCACAATATTCTTGCACCTCTACACTGATTCGAGCAAGGCCAAAAGGCGTGGATTGAACGTTTGAACCCGAAATCATCAACGGGTACATAGAGTGTGTTCTTGTATGCCTACAGCCTCGTAACGCACCAGACAAGATTGTACGCCTGGTCTCCCGAAACCAAGGCGTAAACAACATCCAGTCTTTCTATCACTTTGCTCTCTACCTCCACCACTCCTTCACCGTAGATCCCTTTCCAGAGAGCACGCCAGCTATCCGGTCCATGGCAGTATTGAGTGCCTGTGTCGCTGATAACCCTCTGGACAGCCCTCTTCACCGGTTGTCCCGAGTGGATCCCAAATATCATGCTTCCTGGCTCGTCGCTAAGCAAACTAGCAAGAGCACGAGCGACAACTTCCTGTTGATCGAAATTGAACAGGTCGAAGAGCTCCGCTGCATGGATGACCGTGACTTGTCCATGTAACGAAGCAAGATTGGTGACTGTGCCGAGGTCCACGGACGACACTGGTTTGGGTGCAGATGTTTGCTGACTCAGCTCGAGAATATCTGCTTGTACGAAGGGAGGGGGCTGGGAAGCAGGAAACAACTCGAGGCCAACATCCCAGAAAGCTACATGCAGAACGGAATTAGCCCATTTGACATGGCAAGTTACGAAGGCTGGCGCTGAACCTCACCTTGCCGCAAGTCCGACGCAATCGCATCCTTCGCTGGGTAACCGTCCATGATCGCCTTCCTGATGTCTTGTCCAACTGCCGGGTATAATCAGCACGGACGCTTGATACAGTTACATCATTAGATATACGCACAGAAGGAGCCCACATCAAGAAAGATCGCACGCGAGCGTGACGCAGGCATCGCCAGCAGGCGCGGGTATGCGAAGTGATGCGCAATCTTCGGCCTGTGGTCGAATAAGGTTCTCAGCAAAGGGGGACTGGGTGCGATGCTGAAGAGAGCTCACTTGGTAAATCTGAACTGATGTATGCACACGTATGGGTACACCTAGCAATCAATCAGCATACTATCCGAGTTACACGGGCCAAGAGTGATTGTCTCACGGCGAAAGCACGCTGCTGAACGTCTTGAACGTGGGCTTTCAGCTTCTCTTCGTCATCGATCCCAGTCTGACACTTCAGGAACTCGAGCTCCTCTGCGGTAGGCGAGTAGGATGCCGAGTTATCAATTTTCGCGAGAGCGGCTCGGCGACCCTCCTCGTTCCAGGAGTGCGAATCCTGAGCTGTACTAGACATGGCTCGCGGCGGCCAGAAGTGAAGGATGCCAGAGTGTGTTCATGAAGGTGGCTATTCGAGCTTATATAGCCTGTATAGTTGAGCCCGGGGTAATATATGTTCGCCGAACGCTCAGGGTAAAACGCGGAATGAATATCAGGTGAGTGGTACAAGACAGACTGCCGAATGGGCGTCCCGTATACACGTCTCGAATGGCAAGCAAAGAGCTGCTCTTAGCAAACATAGGCGCGCGGCATCATGCGAGAGCTACTGCGCTCTTGCATGCAGTATAGAGTGATTGTGAGTTGTAATGCAGGGCGAGCCGCAGATCGAGGCGTAGAATGCACAATGTGCTGGAAGGCCCGCACAGAAGGCGCCGAGGCAGGATAGAGTACGTTTGACCTTGTGTACGACACCTTCCGAGGAACGGTGGCGAATGCGAGGATGGATACCCGAGAATATGTACGTACAGACGTCGAGGGCGGCGTATAGTATAGAAGCGGTTCCTCAAGGTCGAAAAGGCGCGGTACAGCACAGTGCAGCAGCACACAGCCGCACTAAGTGTCTCAAGAAGAGATGTAGTCAAATGTGATGCATAAGCGTGTGTCAGGTGAGAGCTGGTGGTGGTGGCCGGAAGACGAAGCGTCTGAAGGTGCCCGCCCGCGCGCTCCGCCGCGCGCCGCACGCGGCCCGGGTCAAACCAAGACGTCCTTCGATGGTCTGGTGCACCGCGCGACCTTGCTCTGTGACCACCATGAGGTCGTTTTCCCATATAACCAAATGCATGTTCTTTCCATTCTGCATGACACTGGGTATCTTGGCGAATACAGAGATACGAAACATCAAGGCTGTATCGACACGTGGCGTTGATGAGTGCGCGACGAACTGGTGTGTCTCCTGCGTGCTCGGTCAGCCCACAGTACGAACTGAACCCAAGAAGGCCGGTCTTGAAGTCTCAAGCACACGAGACTACCTTGGCGCTGGATGTACGCTCTCCAGTAGTGGATAAGGAGCATCTGAAGCAGGGAGTGGCAGAGGCAGTTTGGGTCGTACTTGACCTCGACGATCCGGCTTGGGCATCATATGAGCACTTCACAGTGAAGGTCTCAAATCCGGCATCGGTACGCGGATCGAAGGTCTTACCACTCTAAACGCCTTTTCATTGAGACTATACAGATTTCTGCCGACGTTGAACTGGAGATATTCACCCTATCCGCCCTTACTGCTCAGTACAACAATATGAGCGCTGTAGACCCGGCACATTCGATCACATCCCGCAAACAGTACGCGCATATCTCCGCCAAAATCTCCAGTGTTGCATCCCCACCACACTCGGGGAGGATAATGACGGCACGCTTCATTCTGTCCATTGAGCCGCTGTCATTGGGCGTTGTGCCCATGTCAGTCTTACCGTTGATCGCTTCTATCCCCGTCTTGATACTATTGGCACATCTGGCCGGGACCTACTTGGTGCTCCCCTTCTTGGAGTCCGTCGCGCGGGGCGCGCGAGCCGATATAGACGCGCAACACAAGAATAGATGATTGCCATCCACCTGGCGGTTCCCTAGATGTCCCCGGCAAAGTAGCGATGGACGATACAAGATGTAGGCCGCTTGAAGTGACTGAGGCCCGGACGTACTGTACCGGCACGTCTCCAGCTGGAAGCAAGTACAGGATCCGACCTACTCCCGGTATATCGGGCCGACGTTGCCGAGTTATACCCATGACACTTTAATATAGCTCGCGTATGTAAGCCTTGTACCGATCATTTGTAGTTACAGGATGTACCCTAATGAAGCAATACAATCTGGCCGTATGCTACAGCGGCCTGCTGCTGCTGTCTACTCTTGCTATCGACGTGTTAGGAAAAGGCAAATGCCACACTCAGAGAATAGGGGCCTTTGACCAGGTGCGTGGGAAATTGATCGAACTCCGTTCATTGTCCTCAGAGCAGTGCCGTGCTCTGTTCTTTCCGACCACCGCCTCTGCGCAACCCTCCATCTGTCTACCTTGGCCTCTTTCTGTAGCAATATCTCTCGAGCTGTATCTCTTTGCTATCTTGTCTGTTAGATGCCCATAACCCGGGCCCGCACGTCTAGCGCGACGCGACCCACGGGCGCCCCGCGCTCGAATACCTCGCAGCGTCTGACGCTCGCGCGCAATACCCTGACCCTTGTATCGAAATGCACCTTCTTGAACCTGCCCAATGAGCTCATCTGCGAGATCCTCGCTTTGTTATCTGCACACGGCCTTGCTGCATGCATAAGGGTATGTCTCGATTGCTTCCGTCGCCGCGGTGAGAGAGATCTGACAGCCTCTACAGACTTGCCGATATTTGAAGACGATCGTCACAAAGACGCACCGGCTCGCTCTCGGTTATGCTCTCGCTCGATATCAGCTTGACTCGACTTCTCCACCATCCGCCATCCCTGCCGCCACGCAGCTCATGGCACTCAACGCCCGCGTGGATAATTGGGCACGCCTCAAATGGCGCGACACCACCAGCGTCCCAATGCCTGATGCTGGCGCGATCTACGAGTTTGTCGGAGGCGTATACTGTAACGCCCGTGCTGGTCCGGACGAACGTAGAGTGAACGGCGAGATTCGATTCTACCAATTACCCGACGCGTTCGGAGGGAATCCCAGTGGGAATGGAAGTGGCGTAGGCAATGTCGGGAAATGGAAGGTCGACGTCAGTAATATGGTTGTGCTTGACTTTACGGTCGACCCTGGGCAAGACCTCGCTGTGCTGGTCACCATCGCCGAGGAACCGTGCGTATGATCTACTCTGACGCCCTCATGTGCTTTTATTCACTTGTCTCCCAGAGTTGCCGGCCGACGCTATGAACTACATTTTCGGACACTCTCTTCCGATGAAGCGCATCCTTTAGCGCCAGTTTCTATCCGACCATGCGCGTTCACCCCCGGACCACAGACCTTAGAAAGCAGTACTACCTTCCGCATCCTGATCATGGGCCCAATTCTTCTGCTACTAGTCAAGGATGTCATGCATCCTGACATCGTCCACCTCAGTTTACACAACTGGCAAGCTGGACCTGATGCCATCGTGCGTCTATTTTCTCTTCGACCTTTCCGATATCAAGCTGACGCCAGACGACGCAGTACACTTTCCCTCCACAGTTGATCGAAGATGTTGTCTTTCTCAGTGCTACAGAATTCTTACTCCTCGTCCCTAACGGCGGCTTCGAGGTATACACCTTTGCGCAGCCCACTCCGGCAGTGCCTATAGGCGCTCCGATATCACTGCGTCACTTTCATTTACCCCGACTCAAACCGCAGCACCGCTATTGGTACTTGACCGCGACCGCGAACCCGCTCCCAGGATCCCGACCCTATGACCGCCCTCAATACACTTCCTCCCCGTTTGCTCCGCCGGCTTCGACGGCATCGACACCCCGAGCCTCGCCCGATGAGTGCGATTCTGAATCCCCATTCGTCGGGTCTCCCGCATGCGAATCATCCCGACCAGCGACACCCGCGGAATCACCGTCTGAACCTTCACATGCACCAAATGCGTCCTCTGCATACTTCCACAACCCTCACGCTCCTCCCGGATACGTACGGCCTCCGCCCTTCAGCAGCCGTACAGATGATGGGCTTCTCGCAATAGCCATCGCCACATTATCCCCCGCACCGGAGAACCACATGTCATGCTTCGTCTTATTCGTCCGCATCGCGAAACTACTCGCACTCGCTCGCACTCAGCCCGCCGATCTTCCTCCTCCAGCGGCCGGCACTCGCGCGCGTAAGCGAAGGACACAGGTCAAACTGGGTGCCTCTTCTACAATTGTCTCTGGTCCCAGTCTGCCTTCGACCGTGGAGAGCACCTCGCGGGTACGCGGTAGACAATCGAGTGTCAAGGATAAGACTCCAACGTGGAAACACGTGGCGTGGAACGAATGGGGCCCGCCTACAACCAGATTGTTCAACGATCTGTTGAGCAGCGATTGGCAGCACGCGGTTCACGGTTTCCGCACGGCGGAACGTGTGCTTCCGGATGACGCAGCGTTGCGCGCCTTGTTGCGAGGGCGACCACCACCGCCCGTACATCCCGTGCGGCATTGCGTGCGTGTTAGGGACTTCAACCCCACTATGTTCGCTGGACAAGGTCCTGGAGGCAACCTGGACGACGGAGAATGGGTATTCGGCACCGATGCTGCGCCGTACAGGGTCATACGGTCGCCCAGCCGGATCTCGGCTGCGACGAGCGAGACGTTCGCGGAGGATGTGGAGAGCTGTTTGCCGTATAGGGAGGCTGTCAGTGAGGAGACGTTCGCTGTGAGCGATATCATGATGGACGATACGAGGTTACTGTGCTTGAAGGTACGTACATCTGTCGTCTGACGTCTGCATTGGTGCTGATGAATGCTTGCAGAGAGGTTCCGATGGCCGACTGGTTGGTTTCGATGTGCGGACATTTTAGATCTCGTTTGGCTGGATTTACTACGCTGCTCGATTTGTTCTCTCCTGCTAACTCTTATATGCTGTTCTGTTGTTCTGGGCTCAAGCTTTGCTCTTTTCCTGCTCTGTATTACAACTGTATCTCTACTGCAGCTGCTATCATACACTCACGTTTCCAGTACTAATCGGACCGACGTCGCAGCCATCGAACTCATTTCGCAGACGGACACGAGCCAGCGTATGTCTTTGGGTTTCTCGCTCAGCTCATTCCCTGAGTCGTGGTGTACTGCCGTACGGAGCTATAGCGCGGGCCCGCACCGCTACGCGGAAGGAACGTCGCGTTCGGCGCATTTGGGCCGAAGGGCGTTCGGCATTCTCCGTTTTTGATGGGAGCATTGCGTCCGCGGCAGCCCGGCCCGATCGGGATTTGGTCCTTGCAGACTTGTCCCAAATGCTCGTTGTCATGGGCATGGGCCCCTCATGCTTCATTCATCGACGCCAGCTCTTTGATGAAAGAGTCAACACTGGCTTATAGCCTATGCATCGCTCGCCTGTACAACCCAGCGTTAGAATCACATGCTTAATACCCGAACAAAATTGAAGGCGCCGGCGTCGGCGCCGCCGAGAACGTATGCCTCAGGACAAGCGCTTCACGTTGAAATGGGTGATCAGCCGCTGCCATGCCTGAAGATGATGCAACAAACGATTGCTTCAACAGACTTGGTACCGACTATCAACTTTTTGCGCGAAACATTCAGCTTTCAATCGGTATCAACCTACCAACTGGCCGCAAATGCGCAAACGTACCCTACTTCGACGCCCGCCTGTCTTCTCACTGTGGCACGACCTCTGCGGTCTCAATGCCACCTAAGGTCAATCTCGACATATTTTTGTCCATCGTCCCCTCTGTACTGGGTGTGAGGCTTGGGAAGAAGCGGTACCGGTAGGAACACCGCTTGCAGTGTTCCCTCGTTTTACCCTCGCGGTACATACTCATGAGCAGGGTTCTGTCTCATGTACCGCACCGGCATTTTTCCCGTTCGTAAATCCTCCGGCTGAGATCGGGGGACTGACACGAAGGCCTACATCCTACGTGGCTTCGATGTAAGTCCGGGCTACGCGGCGGTAACTCTCAGCGTCCCGCCCGTACCCTGCGCATTGAGAAGTGCGCAATATGACGCTGAGAATGAGCACCTCCTCGTCAACATGCACGTACAAAGATCGTCGGCGGCCAGCTGGTGGATCCTTCTCATGCTTTTACGTCTTTGCGGCGGTGGCCATACCGAAGTCTGCTTGAGAAGGTCAGCCGCCAGGAAACTGGTCAGTACAACGGTACGAACGTATGACCGGGCGCCGTGGGGTGATGTCTCGCGCATGTGTGCGGAGACGTGCGCTACATACAGTGCAGCGCCGCAACGTTTCTGCCTCTGTGAGCGAAGATCACCGTCCGACGCACGTTGAGAGGACGAGGTGGCGCTGATGGAGATAGAAGCAAGATCTGCACTAGTGTAGTCCACTTCTCTGACTGCGACCATACTCCTTTCCAATGACTGGGCCGAACCACCTTTTGCGATGGCGTGCAGATCAAGGTTCTTGCGCATATATTCTACCTGACGCGAGCGGAAATGCAATGGGTATTGTTCATTAGCTATAATACATTCGAGAAGCATATTCAAAGCATTTTGCAGTGAGGTCATTACAGAAACAATGTGCGATTGAGAGTAGTACTTTTTTGATTTTCTTGCGGACAGCGCGGTCAACCGGCATAGGCAAAAGAGACGGCGCCGTACAACCCATCCTCTCTCCCGAGCAAGCCACGACCGTAGAGAACCTATGAATGATGCTTGTCAGCGAGTGATACGTTGAGTTGAAAATGAGATACTTGCCTCCATCTTGCGCGCGTGCCAGCCGACGCCGCTGTTGACATTGCCCTTCGCGTCCGCAAGCTTTTCGATCATGACGCGCCACGGGTGCGACTCGCCGAGTCCCCTCCTCAACCCAACCTGCTCGCCGTCCGCCTCCGCGATCCATCCGCTCGCACTGTCGACATACCAACCGCGTCCGCCTTTGCTACGCACAACCCGCCATGAGCCGCCTCCACGACCGAGCGCCGAAAGTAGGGGAGCGGCGAGCTCGATGACACGTAGACGCGTCGGCGGGGGGCGTGCAGGTCCGCTGAGCGAGAAGGGCGGCATGCACAACGGGTTGATGAGCTTCGTATGCAGCGCGAGTGAAGCCGAGCGCACAGATACGGCTTGCGCGCCATACCCGAGTTCCGCGCCTGAATTGGTCAATGCAAGCACCTCGACGGCGGGCGCCTTCGCGGGGAGTAGAACGGCGAGTGCGTCAAGAGGAAGTGACGGAATATGCGCAAGACCGAGCGAGCGTAAGGCGGGTTGAACAGCGACGGCGGAGAGAATGTCGGCATCCAAGGGTGCACTGGAGAGGTCGAGGTACCGCAACATGCCAGACGTGAAGCATGGCGCCCTCGATACCAGTTCACGCAGCTCATCTCCAGACAATGGGCATGGATATGTACCGTCTCCGTAGAGGTTGAGCTCGCAGATCGTACGGGCGCCAGGAGCATGCATCAGGAACTTGTGGATGCTGTGGCCGGTCAAGCGGACGCAGCGTGAGAGCGACAGGGAGTACAAGCGCAGCGTGGTTGATGACGCAAGACGATCCAAAAGGGCCGGCTCGACACGCGTACCCGAAAGGTCGAGGTGCGTCAAGTAAGGGCTATTGAGAACAAGCCCGTGGAGAGAAGCGGAAGGGAGCGACTTGGCACCGCGGAAGCTAAGCCGGTGAAGGCCGTAGAGTAAGATCGGGTTCGGACTGTCTTCGGCGAAGTAGATTCGCGAAAGTTCGGTCAATGCGTTGACGAACACAGCAGACACGCATCCAGTGAAGTCCAGAGCGTTCAGCTCGCGACATTCACGGCGTCGAGCAGCCTCCTCAGGATCGACATCGTCATCGAGTTCCGCATCATCGGCCAGGGTTGTCCGTCCACGCCGAGTCGGCCGATGGCGACCTGCCGTGCCGGAACCACGAAGGAAGAGTTCTTTGAGCACGGGCAGAGTCAGAGCGCCGTCCATGTACTCCGTGGCACCGAATGCCGTGAGGTTTGGAGTTTCCTGAGTCTTATTAGGTGGAGAACCCCCCTGAAAGACGGACTGTGAACTTACTCGGAGTAGAGCCTCAAGGCGGTCACCAGTAACGAAGCGGCTATTAACACCCTCGTCGACCGAGCGGCGCATGCCAATGGTTCGGAAATGATTGAAGTCAAGTTGCTGAATGTAGCGACCTGGCCTACGGTCGTGCAGGTCAACTAGCGGATGATCAGACTGTGAGACATCGGTGAAGTGATGAACGAACATGACATACCATACATGCCACCCTCGTTGCCGATCAGAAGGGACTGCAGGGCGTTGGTGATTGAACGCATGAGGGTCCAGCGAGCAGGACTCCGACTGTTCTGGCGAACTTGACGGGGCCGATCGCGACTCGGCTCGCGCGATGCCGGAGGAGAGAGCAGCTCGATCGGGATGGTGATGTCAGGGCCGCTCGCCATTGATTCAAGGATGGCCTCCTTGATTTGCCTGGTAGCGTTCTCATCGCGGCACCCATCCTTTCGCTGCACGACAGCCTCCGCCGCCTCCTGCACGGTGGAGTCGATGTGGCGTGCGGCGTCCTCCGGGTCGGCAGCATTGACGTCGCCAACAACCTCGTCGACCAAGGCCAACCAACTACGGGGCAGGCGAACCTCGATTTTGCGCCACAACCACGGTCGAGCAGCGGAGCACCACGCCTTATTGACGAGAGAGAGGTTTGCAAGAGTTGTGCGAGCTACGGGCTCGGTCCAGGTAGAAGGCGGATACGATGTGGGTTGACTCGTCGGTGCTCCGGCCGGCAGGGTATACGTAGGATCGAGCGATGGGTACAGCGGCGGAAGCCCTGCCGCGTAGATGTGCGCACAGACGAGGATACGAAGCTCAGAAGGAACGTCGTCGATATGCGGCATTTCAGACGAGCGAACAAGAGGGACCCAGAGGATGGGTGTTTCAGGTCAGAGTTCGGGAGTAACGACCGAGGTCCTTATAACAGACTTTGGCGGCGGGCACGTGAAGCAGATGCCTGGTCCACCCCGCCACGCCCCGGGGAACAGCACCGGATCCCCGGTCAACCTTATTATTACGCTTGACCCCCCTTCGCAGTTCATCGATGAGTACACCATCTGCTCTCCGTGAGAGACGTGCTATAGTTCGATGTCCTTAGCACCCTCCTCGTCACACGAAGCGCAGAAGCGCGGGCACGCAAGAAATGACGCGACAGCGCAAAGCTGGAGAGCCGAGTGGCGTATGCGGGTGCATCCAAGCACAAATGGAGAGCGAGTTGCCTCGTACGTCTTCGTGGAAGTAACGCGGTGCATGCCGCCGCCGCGTCCAACCAGCGCTCTCCAGCGCGACGCAAACGTGCCCGGAAGAGATGAAGAGGAGGTGTTAGGCGACGCGCCGATCCCGCCCCTTAACGAAAGGGATGTTCATGTTGCAAGAGGTTCGCGCTCAGCTGACGGCCCGATGCGGCAATGAAGGAGATACAAAGGGCACGTTGGCTTCGGAGAGAGACGAGTCCGCGAATCCTGGACAGGCATCGGCCTGGCTTATTATTCAAAACCGATCGTCCGGCCGCGTCGTACGCATCATTTGCGACGCATTATTTCAAGCGATAGGTCAGGCGCACTGCTGCCGTATGGTGTCGTCGTCAGGCGATATTCGAAGTGCGGCGGCGGTGGTGATGGTTCGGAACAAAGGCAAGCGTCAACACAACGTCAACAACGCCAAACAGAGTCCTGTGCGAGAAATCATGCAACCCGCAGTCGACCCCTCCCAGCCCTTCCCGTCGTCCCCTTCCGCCCGTTTACTCAGACATGACTACTTGGTACTACAGAAAGCTAGAAGGACAGGAGAAGAAAACACTATGGTACAGATATGACATGAGAGCGTAGCAGAAGGATATCATTGCGAGAGATCGGTGTCAGAGTCGCAGTCACTCCTCAGTGCGTTTTCAAGCGGTAGCGCGCTGAACATTCCCCGCCCCACCTCTACCGGAAGGGAACTACAGAGCCATTAGAGCTTGATGCGATGAAGGCAGGGAGATTGAGATCGACAAACCTTGCCCGCCGCTCGCGCAGCTGCATGCTCGCGAATGAGATGTCTCTCATACTCGGCCTCGCCAGTACTGACGATGGTGTCGACAACACTCTCCGTCTCGATATCTTCGCGAGAGACACTGCGATCCTTTGAGCGGGAAATGATGTTACCCACTCCACCCCGCCCTGTACTTTTGAGCTACGTCCATGGTCAGTAAGACCAGTGGCTCGCGTAAGAGGGAAATGCACTTGCAGCCCCTTCAGTCCTAAGAACCTGTGGGAGTAGCTCTCGGCCTCTTGTCACTGAGAAATCGTCGGGACCACCGACACCACGCTGAGCGGGGCTACTTGAAGAATCGTGCGGCCGGATATTGCCGGCGCCCCCTCTGCCGGAACTGACCTAGATTATTTTCAGCATGCAGGCGCGTTCCCCCGCCCGCGAAAGCGCTTACCACTTTGCGCCCGCGTTGCTGCGAGCCGTCACGGCGTTCAGGAGAGACTGGGGGCACTTATCAGCGACTCCGCACACGCGAACATGGGAACGGCAGGCCGGCGAAGATAAGAGACCATACACCCGGGCATCCTTATCTATGAGGAGTGCGGACCCGCCGGCGAGAGATAAGCAGCAGAAACGCACCGGGCTCAGTCGCATCTGGCGCCACGGTGCTGGGAGAGCTCGCGTTTGCGCTGTTTGAGCTATCCCGCGAAAGCGAGCGGGCAAGGCGAGTCCCGAAGGCCGCCACCTGGCTGCTCATGGAGGGCCGGCGAAAGGCCGTGGGCGGGTTTTGCGGAGAAGTCATTTTCTGTTACTTTTTCTCGGGCGCGAAAGGGGACACAGCTGGAGGTCGGGGACCGTGTTGGTGGATGGAGGATGGGAGGAAGCGAGAGTAGTTCGGCTACCGGAGCACTATGCGGGGGTCTCTTGACTTGAGTTTTTGTGCGTTTGACCGCGCGCGAGAGCAATTCCGCCATCGATGGCGCGTATGAGGGCCGTCACGTTCGATCTCTTTCAGACTACGGACTCTCGGGATGAATGAACGTGGGGTCACGAGTCGTCACCCGTACGATCTCATGGACTAGAATTGTGTCAAGGTACATGGCGGACAACGGCTTGCGCCTTCGGGACGGCCGAGTGATGAGAGAGAGCGGAGAGCGCGTGAGGTGGCGGAGAGGTCCAGGGCAGTCGCGCCAATCTGTCGTTCCCCATCGTGCCGTAACGCGCCCAGACATTCGCAAACTTTGTTTCCGCGGTCAGATGAGCTCGCATCATCATTTGAGCTCGCGAAGGCTTCGTGCGCCAAACCTTGCCCTACAACACGCCAAAATAAAAGGAAGCGCTGTCGGCTTCACACTCTGGAAGGACAGCACTACATGGAAGCGCAGCATGTCTATAAACAAATATGCTTTACGCATCGCCGGGCACGGCCAAAAGGTCGAGACAACAGGTCACGCTGGCGGATGGCCATGCGCGACAACCTCATGTGCTGCGCCGGCAGGAGAACTAGAGTACCCCGGCGGCGCCTCCCCAAACTCGCTCTCTTGCCCCGCTACAAGGCGCTCGTACGTGAGCTGTGTAGCTAGCCGCTCCGCCGGAGAGGAGGCCTGCTCCAGTCGGCGCGATGAGCGTGCGTGGCTTCCACCTTCTGCAGCATAACGTGGTAACACAGTCGATCCCCGATCGGCGAGGTTCTACGCAGACGAAGCAGTCAGGACTTGCAGGGTATGAAAATTAGAAACATGTCATACCGACAACAGGTTGATGGGGATCTTCACGATGATGTCGAAGAGCTTCCTCTCGCCCGTGCGCTCGTTGATCTCTTGGTCGTCACCACGTTCAACACGCATGGTAACCTTGAGTGTATGCGTCACGCGTATGCCTCCAGCGCCATTACGATTCGATGGGCATAATGCTGAAGGAACTTGCAAGTCAGCCACCAGGGTCCAAGGGCCAGGTCCCACGAAACTAGCTAGAGTTTCTGAGGCATCGCCGGAATGCTGAAGCTGTGCGAGCGGGGAACATGCGAACGCGTCGGGGTCATCCGATTCGAGGGGTAGAAGACGATCCGTCTTTCTCTCGGGCTTCAGGGAAAGTAAGGGCTCGCGCACCGGACGTAGGCTACGTTTGGCGCTTTGCCATGATGAGAGCTCGTATTCAATAAGTTCTGTTGACGACATCAGCACCCCATGCCTTTGACGAACGTTGAAGCGCGAATGATGTGAAGAAACGCGCACCCTCGATAGACATGACGATGTGTGCAATCCGAATCTTCGCCATGGGGAGAAGCCGCAGTTCGAGGGGGATGACGCCGCCTACAGGAAATATCTTGCCGGAAACGAAGAAAATGTAATGTAATTGGTCGCTCCAGAAGCGTTCGACGAGAATATTGCCGCTCTCCTCCGTGTCGTCCTCGCTTGGAAGTGCGACGACGGTAACATCGTGCGCTGCGCTTAGTCGCGCCGTAAGCGCGCCCGGTCTGTGCACGTTCGCTTTGAGCTTCCACGAGACACGTCCGTACTCCACGGCTAGCGACGGGTGTGCATCTGCCGGAATCGCCAATGAGATCGGAAAAGTATAGACACCTGTAGAGTTTGAGTTACATGCGGTCAGATTTGTTCGGCGGCCATCATTAAGTAAACAGACCTTTCTTGAACTCTGTCCAACCCAAGTCTACGCCGCCATCTACACCGCTCGGGTGTGATGCTTCCAAGCTTGAGCCCTGCACACGATGCTTGACAGCACCTAGAAGGAAATTGGCAGCCGCCCCCAGCCGGGACGGTGTGCGTGCCTGACGGCCCCTTTGCGGACTGATGCTCGCCCCGGGTGTGTTGGCCGTTGCGGCCATCTGGCTCTGCGATCGAGCAGGAGGCACGCGGCCCTCCTCGCTCGTGTCCGTACTCGTGCTCACTATACGATGCTCCAGTAAGGGCGACCCGCCCACTTCTGTCGGTGAGTCTTCCGTGAATGAAGCGGGCCGCGTTGATGGATTCGAGGCGGATCCTGGGCATGAAGTGAGTCGTGGGACCGCGTGATGAGGCAAGAGCACGAACGGGACTCCGTCGCCACCTCCACCTCTGTTCGTCGAGAAGAGGATGGCGCAAACTCTGTTTCGTAAGGCGACTCTAATGACACAGGTGGAGGTGGGAGGATTATAGAAATCGGATCTGAAGGTAGCTGGGTCCAGGAGTCGGAACTCATCTGTCTTCGCAGGCGCTGCCGCCCGCGAGAGGCGAGAGGTGATGCGAGCGATGACTCGGTGCTCATAGGAGCCTGGGTCGCAGCGCGCGCGTGTGAAGCCTCAAGGCCAGACGGATGCGCAAACTCCAGCTCATCGTACAGTGGCAATCCAGAACTGACAGACAATGCTCTCTGCGACCGTAGAGGCGGTGCAGAGCTGGCGGAAACGGATCTGAACAACTGATGAGAAACCGAGAATACGGTGCGCTCGTCTGACGCTACGGGCTCGACCCGGTGACCCGATCCTATAACTATTTGAGCGACAGACATGATCTCAAACTAGGGAACGTCTTACCCGATGTCGGCGGTAGATTGATCTTGGTTTTTGCTCTGAGTTCTACGTCTATACTCGTTATGCGCGTCGGTGTAGTCAGATCAAGGACGAGTATTGCTCGCAGAAGTGAGGGTGGCTCTGAGCTGAGGGTGCCGGGGCCATCGTCGGAGAAGTCTGCTCCTCGCACGAAAACCACGGGCTCTGAGAGAGCTATACGAACATTGCTTCGGGGTGCCATGGTGGCGGTAAGAAGGAAGACAGTTCCCCGGATATTGCGGCTTCGTGTTGAACAGTCGCGGTGTCTAGGCCAGGCAGCGTCCGGCGGCGAGGCTGTCGCAATTGAACGTGCGCCGCCGGTTTACCTCATCTAGTGCGGGGTGCGGCAGCACGCCTTGACTGTTCCAGCGTCGTTCTGGAGGCATGTACAGCCACAGGGGTACCCGTCCTGTTTGCCTCCTCCAGAACCGACTGCGATGGTCACTTGGACGTCAAATGGCGACATTCCCGTTGCGAACACCGGGGCGATCTCCAGCTGGAAACCGCATGGGAATCCCGGAGGAAAGCGATTATGAAAATATTCTGCGCGGGGATTACGGCAGGCACAACAATACAGGTGGTCGACCAGCGACGTCCGGACGCCTGCGTGTGGACCGTGGTTGTTCGGGCCAAGTTCGGGCGCCCGCAGAAAACCGAATTTATCCACGTGGCTCGTTTTGACCCGGGCCGTAATGCTCCCCAGGCACAGAGCCCACACTTTCTCTCTCCCCAAACCTAAAAGTATTGTTTCGAGTTGATGCATGGCGCCTAGATAAACGCCTTGCGGTTCATACGACCACCAGTCGATGACCACTTCAGATGGATGAACAATGGGCTGGCTTCCCGTGGCAAGGGTCGGGCATCAAAGGATACGGCCAGGTGTGGCCTGAACTTGAATTTTATAAGACGAACGTTTCAAGTGAAATCATGTTCCACCGAGTTCCCTTCACGCTCCATTCCGAACTACCTCACCATCCACCACCTCCCCGCACATGGCCGTCGAGGGCCAAGAGCCCCAAAGTCTTCAGCCGAATAAGCTCGCCCACGCGCTTACATTCCTGAGTGGCCAGCTCAACTTCTACCGCTTGCACATCCTCTACTTGTGCGTTCGGCAAATCCCTCCTATATAATGAGAACCGCGTGGTCGCTAACCGATCTGCGCATTACCCTTCCGGTTGCAGCATCTTTACGCCTCTCATCTTCTCTGCCATCTTCTACGCGAGCAATGGCGAGACTCACATATCCTACATCGATTCGCTATACAACTGCGTCAGCGCCATGGTCGTGTGCGGCCTGGCCACGGTCGACCTCTCGTCCCTTACCTCATGGCAACAGGTCATCCTGTTCATACAGATGTGTATAGGGAACCCGGTGCGTGCCACACATAAACAAAGGAGTGTCATCATTTACGCAGGCGTTTATTCCCAGATCGTCGTTTCTTGGGTCGTCGTGTACACACGCAGGTGAGTGGGGAACTTGTCCGCACAAAGCCTTGGCGCTGCGCTTCTACTCGCTGTCGAGTTGGACTGGTCTATTGCTGCTCGCGCACAACTGTTTGAACACCTGTCGCGAATGTTGCACAGCACCGTCCAATCTTTCCATCTGATTATCTTGGGCGTAGCGCCCGTGTGTGCCTCGATTCGAACACGAAGCTGACTGGCTTCTCCCGTCAGGCGTCTATTCAAGAAGCGCTGCGAACACATTGTGTTGAATGCTCGCTCTCGCTCGCAGTACGATGACAATGAGCTCACGCGCCGACCTTCGCGTCTGGGCGGACTGGGCAACTTCCTTCGGCGTAGACGGGGCCTGAGCACGGTGGAGGAGGTGGAGGAGCCCGAGACGCCCATCAAGAAGTCGGGACAAGAGACACCTCGGAGGAATCGCGCCCTGCGTACGGACATGATCCGGCGTATGGATGACGCACCGAAACTTGTCAACCCGAGCGGATGGATCAGCGAGCGCATTTTGAACGAGAAGCAAACATACAACGAACCTCGGGCGGAGCATCCAGGTCCTTCTTCTGGGGAGAGCGATGGCAGCACCAGTCCCCCCACGACGGCAAGCACCATTCCGCACATAGTAGAGGAGAAGGAGGTTGATTCCGAAGGGCGCAGGGACCAGTATGTTCGCGATGATTAACCATTGAGGATTCTACTTAACTTTCGCAGAGAACGCACCATCATCTCCGGTAACCGAGCTCGTTCCCGTTCAACCGCCAGCGGAGACGCGCGCACAACGCGTTTTGCGTCACCTGAACGCGACGATGTCGAACGCGATCGCGTACCCATGCCCCGTACACAGACCATCGAGTTTGCCCCGGAACCCAAAATACGGCGCGGCTCACAGGCGCTAGCCATGCAGCCTACGATCTCCGAGAATGGTTATAGGCGCAGCGAGTCCATCGACACGATAAGCTCGGAGTCTGGCTCTCGGCCACCTGCAGCGTCACTTCGCCCCGCGATGACCTATCAGAGTACATTGCCTCCGCCTGGATCAAGCGCGAAGCACTCCGGCTTTGGGGGATTTCCACTACCGCATGAGATCCTAGGTCGCGTCGTGCATTACTTGTTCCCCAAGGTCAAGGCGAAGCTTGAACGCACTCTCACCATGCCGCGTACTATGACGGTAACGAGCCAATCGGGTCAGCAGAACGCTGATGATGGCGCGACCGTTGTGCCCTACATATCGTTCGATGCTATCGTTGGCCGCAACTCGCGGTTTCACGAGCTCACAAATGAACAACTGGAAGAGCTGGGTGGCGTTGAGTACCGTGCACTCAACGCTTTGCTATGGTTATTACCCTTGGTACGTCATTTCACGTCAGTGTCGCCATCTTTGTCTGATAGTCCCATCACAGTACTTCTTTGGCGTTCAACTCATCGCATTTACGGTCATCGCCCCATACATGACATACACGGAGAAGTTCCAAAACACATTCCGGCCACCAGCGCAACACAAGTTTATCTCCCCGGCTTGGTTCTCCCTCTACCAGGTCGTCTCCGCGTTCACCAACACTGGCACATCCCTTGTTGACCAGAGCATGATCCCCTTCCAGAAGGCGTACCCAATGATCTTCTTCCTTGGCTGGTGTATCCTCGCAGGCAATACCGCCTTCCCTATCTTCCTCCGGTCCAGCATATGGACGTTGCACAAGCTCCTCCCGTCGCGCAGCGCGCTGAACGAAACACTGCACTTTCTACTCGACCACCCCCGTCGGTGCTTCATCTACCTGTTCCCGAGCCATCAGACGTGGTTCTTGTTCCTTGTACTTGTCGGGTTAAACTTGACCGACTGGGTGTGCTTCTTGGTGCTGGATATTGGGAATGAGGAAATCGATAAGATCCCAGTCGGGACGAGGATGGCGGATGGAATGCTTCAGGCATTCGCCGTGCGCGCCGCCGGATTCGCGACGGTCACTATCTCTGGACTGGCGCCAGCGGTGAAGGTACTCTACGTGATCATGATGTACATCTCCGTCTGTACGTACTCGCTCTCTTCTTACCTTTCTTTCGTAAACTGACGTCTATATGCAGATCCGATTGCAATGAGTGTGCGTTCGACGAACGTATATGAAGAACAGTCCTTGGGCATCTACAACGACGAGAACGAGTCTGAGCCGCAGTTCCCTACCAACTCAAGTGAGGTACAGCGAATGACGGTATGGTCGGCCTACCTCGCTCAACATATCCGCCGTCAACTTTCGTTCGACATGTGGTGGCTCGGAGTTTCGCTCTTTCTCGTCTGCATCATTGAAAGGCATCAGCTCAACGACGAGAATGCATACTACTTCGACATCTTCGCCATCGTTTTCGAGCTTGTCAGCGCATACGGTACCGTGGGGTTGTCCTTAGGACTACCGACAGCCAACTATAGCCTGAGTGGCAAGCTCAGCACGCTCAGCAAGCTCGTGGTCATTTGTGTCATGCTTCGTGGACGCCATCGTGGATTACCGGTTGCGATCGATCGTGCGGTCGTGTTGCCGTTCGAGTTTAGGAGGGCAGCGGAGGATAGTCTGGGTATGCCGAGGAGCGAGACATTGAGGACGAGCGCTAGCGGTGTGGCTGGTAGTGACAGCCAGGCCGGTGCTGAGTTCCGAAGGCGCTTAAGCCAGCAACGGACGATGTCGAGACAGAGCGGAGACGGGAGGTGACCTCCCTCGCCCGGCGACACTTATAGATCTACTCCCACGCATACATGACTCTCTTGACGACATCCTCGGAAACCGCATATAATCCCTAATCTCCTCGCTCGCACTGCTGCTCGATCTTCCGCTACTTAGACCTTAGACTTGTACTTGTTCGCATACCCTGTTATGACCGCCACGACCTCAGCTCGGACGTTGTTCTTGTCGCTTGCTTTCGCACCTCATATAGATATCACCTTTTGCTTGTCTTTGACTCTGCCATTCGTGTATTTGTGGTACTCTATTCAAACCTTCATTTTCACTACTACAACAGCGTTTCATCACGGGAACTTCCGCCAGCAGCTCCTCAAAGCCCCCTACGTTCGCCGCTGCGTCCTCACCTTTTTACAAGTCTGCGCCGATGCACATCATGCGTCTCTCTTACTACATAGAAGCTTCAAAGCTCTACACACTCGACCGGGAACCAGGCCCTAGATGCATGGGCAAGACGATGGAAGGAGATCGCACGGTGCCGCAGGCAAATGGCGAGAGCGCCCGAGGCTGCTGAATAGTTGAAGGCGAAGTTAAAAGCGCCCGGAAGACATTGCATATGCGGACCTGTGGGTGATCAGGTTGAGATCCCAGGGAACGCGCAGACGTGCGGCGAGTACTTACTGGCGTGTGGCCGCGTCACTGCTATTCTTGAAGCAAGATAGTCAGACAATTAGGATAGCCTCTCTGAGTGTAAGTCATTGGCAAGAAGTGTGCATATGCATAGCATTGAATCATAAGATGGATATTGAAATGTTCTGCGAGTAGGAGCATAGGGATTGTGAGGTGGGACGTCACATCGCCCGAATACCTTGAGCCGATTCAGACGCAGGATACAGGCATGCACGCAGGTCTGGGAGCACCGGCACTGTTCGGTTTTGCAGCAGAATTAGTACAGTTCACGAGGAACATGTTATAAATGGGGCGATCCCAGCAATGATAACTATAAAGTACTAGGAGAATGCGATGTGCAAACCTATGGTGGCCGCGCATGCTACCTTGTGCTTGTCGCACCAGACTCGGGAGCGCGCCCGGACCGGGATTCGGACCGATTGAAGTCTCGCATGCCTCGCGGATCGCGTCCCTTGTTCTCAACCACACCTTGGCCGTCTGTATCGTTATGCGGCACGCCCGTCCATCGATCTAGGCCTTGGTGAGGGTGTCCGTACATCCTGGCTCCAAACTTGATGCACATTTTGCAATTGAGTATGCATGCGCATAGCGGAAGCCCGAAAGGCGCCGACCAGATACACGCGCTTCAAGCTCCTTAGTATATCAAGCTCCGTAGCTGTTATTTTAGCTTGAACTTACCCATGCGACTACGGCAAATACGACGTCAACTTGGACGTATCGTCAGTCAATATCGACCTGGAGCCGGGAGGAAGCGCGCAAGTGGCGCTGGGGCACCGGGCGAAGACGTCATAGTAACCCTGCCCTCGGCGCTCGGATGGCGCATAAGTATGTAACACACCCCAGCTGAGACATACAACGAACCACCTTCTCTACAGCTATACCCATCACCGAACAATCTATACGAAGCAAAGATGTGTGTTTTGCTTCGGGAGACAGTCTGAGTGGAAGGTGCTAAGGTCGGCTACTTAGGTCTATGCGTGCTTCTGGAATCAACAACTACGAGAACTACCAGTTCGTATCCACCTACCTTGCGTGTTTGAACGGCATCCTGACGAGTATCAGAGACTCGCCGAACGCAAGTGGGTCAACCGCGCAGGCCGCTCACGGCGGTGCAGCACCACCGTTGCCGCCGAGGCATGAGCCTCCAGTCGGACAGACCGGACATGCCAGTGTCGCTGGGACGGACTATGCGGGCGCAGGGACCACTGGTAAGCCGCAGCTCCTCGTGGACTGAATTTCGTCTCATGTTGTATAGGCGCTGGCGCTGGTGTAGGCGCAGGAACGTATGAGCATGACATCAAGCACCCAGTCGACTCGGCCGAAGTACGAGCGCCTCCCGCTAAATCTGGCAGCAGTACGTTCCTCGCCTTCATCATACGCGCAATCTCGCGTACTCACTACACGTATAGTCGGAGACCGCGTCGGCGCAAAGATCGAGCAGGGCGCTGGGATGCTGGGTGGGATGATCCATGGCATTAACCGCGGCAAAGACCGTTTCAACGAGGGCTTGGACAACAGCGTGTCCCATGGTGGACGGTCTTGGGAGGAGAAGAACCGGGATATGGTTAGAGGTTTGAACCAGGGCATCGATAACGCGGCGGGTACGGCTTCGCGGGCGGCGCATGAGGGCTATCATGAGCCTGGGACGGCGTCAACCACGGGTAGCACGACCGGGAGCACGGGAAGCATGTACGGTATGTCAAAGCTGTCTTCATTGGAATGAGAAGGATGCTAATCCCATATTTGTAGAGACGAAACAGATCTAGATTGAAGTCGGAATAGAGTAGTGTACGAATATAGTAGCCATATAGCAATGTTTTACTATTTGAGTTGCGGTGCCGAGCGAAGTGACTTGATCGGAAAACTCGGAGCCGCATGTAAGTCCTACAAGTTGTAGCCGCCGGTTCTGGCAGTCCAACGTACGCGTAAGCCTTCAGCGAGATGGATAGCATGCTGCGTATGACGTAGAGCGCTCTGAGCACAAGATCCGAAGGAGGGGAAGAGGGCTGAGGAAGGTGAAGGCCCACGGCAAGTGCCGAGCCGGGCTCAGCGAGAAATTGGCGGCGTGGACCTCGAGTGTGTTCCTTACCGTCACGTCCTCCCTCGACAGGACAAGACCTCCGGACCGGGCATCTATCCCTCCCCAGGTCGACTTTCTCTTCCCCTTTTCTACTCTACACCTTTCTCCAGCCTCTGTCGAATAACTTCACGTTATTTCGCCTGCTGGCAGGTCGGACCCATCGCGCGCTTCGACTACCCCTCGACTAGATCTCCAAAACAGCACCCGCACGCAACATCGATCGATTCACACTCATCGACACGACCGTTCGTGAGTACGATTTATATTTGAAAATGTGCGATCTATCTCGGTTTGGATTTCGTGGGTTCGAGACGGGCGGAGAGAGGCGGGGGCGAATTGTTTGAACGGGGCAGGTGGCGGCCGCGCGGCGTCGGCAAAGCCTCCTGTTGGCGCATCACGTTGCCCGAAATTGAATTGTATGTGTTTTGGCGGGGAACGAGGCGTCTCTCGTCGTGAATGCCGCAGTAGAGAGGCTCGGGCAGTGCCCATCGGGGACCCACGCGCCCCGAGATCGCCTGCCTCGGCAACGCCGCCTCGCACTCTGTTCCATCACATTATATCATGAGAGCCTGGTGGCTCGCATCGTGTTAAATGCTGCATCGGCGCATCATTGCCCGTCTTGCGGGTGCGGGTAGAAGCGGCGCATCAGCCCTTCTTTTTGCGGACAAATTCGCTGGCTGTGAAGCTGAGAAGTTGCATCGTTTGGCTTGATGCGCTTCTGAACGGATTTGATATGCTATTTCGAGACGGAGACTTGCATCCGCCGCCTTTGTAGGATGCGCTCTCTGCATCGGCGTCTAGGGTGGCGAAACTAGTGCCTTCAGTAGGCGCCCGTACTGTCCTCGGACACGCGCCCCTCCAAACCGTGCCGCATGCCCGCCGCCCTTCTCCAGATCCACCGCCCGACCCACATACGTTTCTCTTGTCATCCCATCTCTATCACTCGGCACATCCGCTAACTTGTTCTCTCGCACAGAATGAGCAAATCCTCAACAGCATCAAACTCGAAACTTCCTCCGCAGCTCCCGCAAAAGTCGGCTTGGGCCCGCGGTCCTCCACCCACAACCACATCGCGCTCGCAATCTCCCGCGCCTTCCACGCCCACCACGCCCAACGCCCCCGGTCCCGCTGTACATGGCACACACTCTCGCCGTCCCAGCACTCTTGGCCAGGGAGCATCCGTAAAGGAGGGCGTCTCCATACCCCGCAATGCACCTGCCGCCGCTAAAGCAGGTGAGCGACACCCCGATCATTGACATGTAGCATGCTCACACGCTCCTTCAGGCGGTTCAGGCGTCACATTCGGCTCGATAGATAACGCTGGCGCGCCTATCTCCTCTTCCCCGGCAACGGCGCCGGCCGTGAAGAGTGGCGACGTTACCAAATTTGGCAGTGTGTCTGTCAACGGCGAGGCGGCAAAGTCGGTCATCACAAGCCGGTCCCAAGCGCCGTCGGCATCTTCTTCAACTGCCGCCTCCACGGCATCAACGCCCGCGACCACAGCGCCGACCTCCACGCCCTCGCCGGCGCCAAAGTTGAATAAAAGGGACATTTCGAAGCTCTTCCAGGGCCCGTCCGTCACCGCTGCGGCACATACATCGACGCCGTCGCCCGCAGAATCGACTGCATCTCCCGCCAGCCGCCAGTCGGGTCTGCCGCACGTGAATGCGCCGCCATTCGTGCCGCCGCCTTTCACACCTGGAGGCGGCCTTCGCACGGGTTCGAATGGGACACCCCCTGGCGGACCTCCTCGTTCGCCGTCTTATTCGCGGCCGCCTATGGCCAATGGTCAAAATGGGAATGTTCCCGGCAGACCGCCTAGCGGGCCAAATCCCGCCATCCCTCAGGCGATGCCGAGCCCGCGTATGGGCCAACATCCGCCGCCTGGGCCACCGCAGGGTATGCCGCAGATGGCTCCTTGGGGCCCTTACTATGTACGTCTATTCTCCTTAATAGCAGTGAGATAGTGGTCCTTACGTTGAATACAGGCGTATTCGTACGGAATGCCGCCGCCTCAGCCCGGTACGGAGGGAATGTACCCGTATCCTCAACCTCCCACATGGGGCATGCCACCACAGGGCATGCCGCCGCATCACCAGCCTCAACCTGGCGCACCACCACAGGGCATGCCCATGTCCCCGCACAAACCTCCCTCTGCGTTGCAGACACCCAGCACGCCGACGCTCGCGCATGCTTCGCCGGTGTCGCAACATCCGCCGCCGCCACAGCCCAATGTGACTTCGCCGCCGCCGACACCCAGCACATCGAACAGCTCGAGGTTGAACGGCACTGCAAGCGCTTTCGTTCCCAAGAAGACGATCTCGCTCAAGAGTGCCGACGGCAAACCCGTCGATCTTGATAATCTGCGGCGGAATGTCGGCCCATCGCCCGTTAGCGCTGGCCCGCAGAGTCCGAGCGTGGGCAAGATCGAGCACACACGGACGCCGAGTCGGCCGGTGGTGAGGATGGAGACGCCCGAGCAGAAGAAGGCTCGTGAGGCGGCTGAGGAGGAGAAGGCGAAGAAGGAGCGCGAGGCTAAGGAGAAGGAGGAGCGGGCGAAGAAGGAGGCTGCTGAGAAGAGGGAGCGCGAGGAGAGGGAGAAGAAGGAGGCCGAGGAGAAGGCCAAGAGGGAGGCTGAGGAGAAGGTCAAGAAGGAGAAGGAGGAAGCCGAGAGGAAGGCGAAGGAGGAGGCCGAGGCGGCTGAGCGTGCGAAGAAGGAGGAAGAGGAGAGGAAGCGCAAGGAGGAGGAGGAAGCCGCTGCAAAGGCTAAGGCCGAGGAAGAGGCCAAGGCGAAGGAGGCCGCCGAGAAGAAGGCCGCTGAGGAGGCTTCCGCCGCAAAGGCAAAGGCTGACGAAGAGGCCAAGGCCAAGGCCGCCGCTGAACCCGCCGAGACGGAGGAAGGTGAGATCGTCGAGGACAAGGAGAAGAAGGCCGACGACAAATCCGGCGCTCTCCGTATCGAGACTGCCCTTCCGTCCCCCGAGGCTCGTCGCCGCCCTGGCCCGCTCAACCTCAAGGATGTCGGCAAGAACATCCCCCAACCTCTTCCCTCTGCGCTGGCCACCGCTCGCATCATTGACGACATCAGCTCGATAGCCTACCCCGAGGGTATCCAAAGCCCAAAGCTCGAGCTCAACGTCAATGCCTCCAAGGGCAAGTTCAAGTACGACCGCGACTTCTTGCTCCAGTTTATGGCTGTCTGCAAGGACAAGCCGGACAACCTTCCACCCCTCGACGCCATTGGCCTCGAGCCCTCTGACCAGGCGTTCAGCATGGCCCGTGGTGGATCCGGTCGTCGTGCATCGGGTATGCAGACTCCCTCATCGCGCTCGAACCCCATCGGCCTTGGCTTCGGTCCTATCGGCAAGGCCGGTATGGGCAACTTCGCCATGCCCGCTGGTGCTGCTAGCAAGCTCTCCAGCGAGGAACGCTTCGCAATGGCGAGCCGTTCGGCTTCGACAAGCGGGGCCGGTATGCCTCGCGCTGGTGCACCGCCACTCTCCCGTACCTCAAGCCAGGGTGGACCCGGCGGCGATCGCCGTAGGACTCGCAGCTCGCGCGGACATGCTCGCGACAACAACAGGCAGAGCACTATCCAGCAGCCGCCCTCGAACATGCAGCCACCGCTTGAACCCGTCGCACCGCTCGAGCAGACTGCCAACCGCTGGACGCCGATGAGCACGAAGCGCAACGCACAGGTTGACATGGACTCGCCCGAGGTCGTGGATCGTAAGGTCAAGGCCTTGCTCAACAAACTCACGATGGAGCGCTTTGACTCGATCTCCGACCAGATCATTGAGTGGGCGAACAAGTCCGAGAAGGAGAAGGACGGCCGCACGCTTATCCAGGTCATTCGTCTCGTGTTCGAGAAGGCGACGGACGAGGCGACGTTCAGTGAGATGTACGCACGCCTGTGCAGGAAGATGATGGAGCAGATCTCGACGAAGGTCCAGGATGATGGTATCTTGAACAACGAGGGCAAGCCGTTCGCCGGTGGACAGCTATTCAGGAAGTACCTCCTCAACCGCTGTCAAGAGGACTTCGAGCGTGGTTGGGCGGCGAAGGACGCTGCTGCAGCTGCTGCCGCCGCCAAGGCTAGCGAGGATGCTGCTGTCAAGGAAGCCGTGGACAAGGCCAAGGAAGGCGGCAAGGTTGGCGAGGACGGCGAGTTCGAGCTCTACTCCGACGAGTACTACGCCGCCGCCAAGGCCAAGCGTCGCGGTCTCGGTCTCATCCGCTTCATCGGCGAGCTGTTCAAGCTGCAGATGCTTACGGAGCGTATCATGCACGAGTGTATCAAGAAGCTGCTCGGCAACGTCGAGAACCCCGAGGAGGAGGAGATCGAGAGCTTGTGCAAGCTGCTTGCGACGGTCGGAAGTATTATCGATACGCCCAAGGCTCGCGCGCATATGGATGTGTACTTTTCACGGATGAAGGAGCTTGCGAAGAGCAAGAACGTCAACTCGCGTATGACGTTCATGTTGCAGGTCTGTTGCTTTCTTTGACTATCCTTACGAGCTGGATACTGATGTGTCTTCTCCTCATAGGATGTCATCGAGCTGCGCGAGAACAAGTGGCAGCCCCGCAACAAGGTTGCGGCACCCACGACTCTCTCGCAGATTCACGATCAGGTACATCACCCTCGTTCTACTCCCCTAGAACACATCAGCTAACAAAACTCATAGGCTGCGAAGGAGAAGGCCGCTCAGGACAGCCATGCGGCGATGGCGCGCAACAACCCCATGACCCGTGGTGGCTCGCGCCGCGGCGACAACCGCAACGACGGTCCTGTCATCGGCCCCGACGGGTGGGCGATTGCTGGTTCAGGCTCAGGCGCACCCCGCGCACCGCCCAAGGCCGGCGACCTCTCGAAGTTCGGCCAGATCAACAAGCAGCAGCCGATGACCTTCGGTCCCAGCGGCGTGTTCGCCAAGGGCAAGAAGGACGGTGCGGGCTCTGTTCGCGAGGGAAGCATGTCGCGTACGGCGAGCGTCTCGAGGAACATGTTCGATATGCTCTCTGGCGCGGATGCTCCCGAGGCGCCCGTTGCCACCAAGTCCAGCAGGCCGCCGAGCCGCAAGCCGAGCGTTGATCTCAGCCAGGCCGGCGCATCCGAGACGCCGATGCAGCGCCGCAAGCTCAACTTATTACCGCGTAGCAAGCCGCTCGAGGAGGCGCCCAAGCCGGAGGAGGAAGGAACCGAGGATGGTGAGGAGGCAGAGGAGGAGGCCGGGCCGAGTATGTCCGAAGAGGAGGCGAAGCGCAAGATTGGCGAGGACGTTAAGGAGTTGTTCCTCCTGCGGTCGCTTGACGAGGCCGAGAGCTACTTCACGAGCTTGCCCGCCGAACATCGTGCTCTGCTCGTGGATACGATCTGCATGAAGGGCATCGACAGCAAGGCTGCGGATGTACAGCTCATCACCGACCTATTGACGCGCGCAAACGAGAAGTCGCTTGCGAGCCTCGACGCTTTCGAGAAGGGTCTCGAGCAACTCGCCGAGCTCGTCGACGACATAGCCATCGATGTACCGAAGGCATTCGACATCTTCGCCGACTGGTTGCGGGCCTCTGGTCTCGCAGCGGATGAGGAGCGCAAGACGCGCATCGCGGAGAAGTTGCCGGAGGGCAAGGACAAGCTCCTTGGCTTGCTCGCATAGTCTCTGTCCCGGCCCTGCTCGTGCTCTCCGTTTCATCTCGCTGTCGTCTTCGTGCTCTGTAGTACCATCACTTGCTGCTTTCGACCTTCACGCCCACACTGTCTTCGCGTCTCGTCCTGCTACTCACTGCTAGACGGCATTCATGGACATTACTGCCTCTCCTCACCAACCCACACGCATTCAATCCGCCTCGATCTTATCGCACAGCCGTTAATGCATCCCCTTCATCCCATGACTTATTCGCGCCCTGTTGCTTCTCCGCTTTTCCCTGTGTCCCCTCCACTACGCGCGCGGCCGCGCCCGCCCGTTGTACATATCGCGATACCGGTTCCTCGTCCACGTCACCCACCCTTTACCATCGTCATTTCTGTCGACCTCCATGTCGGCCTGTTGCATTTGTTTTTCTCCCCCACCCCTTTTATATGTGTACGCACGGTTGTTTCATGGCTTGGATCCCGTCATCGTATTTCTCTCCTCTCTTCTTGTTGCTTCGAGCTTTTCCGTGCCGTACAGTACACTTTTCTTCTGTCTCTCCGGCATACAATGCACACATGACGCATGTTTCTCGCTATGTATGTATACCGACACGTCCTTCCAGGGCGATAGATTGCAAACACCACCATCATCTTTCCGGTGTGCAAGGAATGTGCTATGAAATCGTTCGCGGCATCTTAACCGATTGAGCAGTGCTCTATCGGGATGGGTTGGACGCGTTTTGATCTCCGGTACGTATGCATCCTGTAGGCGCCGGTCCCTCTACCATGCTGATCGCCCTCAAGCGTCTGTAGAAGGCAATACACCAAGGTCATCGCTGTGCGGGTCTTGTGTGCCTAGCAACCACTCTCGCGCTATGCATCTCAACTTTACCGCTTTCACCGCAACCCCTCGTCATGACAGATCATCTCTGCAGTCCCACCTCCCCTATACAAACGGAGTCATCACAAAGGGAGTCGGTGTCCGTATACGGCAGTTCCCTGGCGAGAACGTATCGGTTATCTGGGACGGGCTATGCTGTATTGCGGATCGTGCTGAAGCGCTTGGTGCTGCGCTTGGTCTATCAGGATGGAAGGACTGACCGCTCCCACTTATAGGGTACGAAGTGCATTCCGGTCCCGTCTATAATTCCCATGTCCTCCACAAATCGTCCCTCTTCCAAGCTCGAGGCTGCGCTACATGACGCCCAATCGGCCTTGCCGGGCGTGATTGTGGGCTCTCTTCTCCTTGGTAAGCAGGCCTGTCGAGACACGGTTCCACAATCTGACTTACACTGCCTATCCTTCAGGTGTCTTCACTCTACTTATAGCCTTCTCGGCTTACATTCTTAAGTAAGCTCTCTAGTTCGTATGGGAAAACGGCTCCGCATATCTGACGACCACAGACACAAAGGTCTGCGAAAGCGACCGTACGCCATTATGCTCTTCGCTGTAGTGCACATGTACAGCTGTGCATTGATATACTGGGCAGTCACCGTATACTCTTTGCTTCAAGCAGTCGTGGATCCCGAGGGGTACGCCCTCCTAGATGCGTACTCGGCTGGGGTCAGGAGCAGGGTTACACTAGCTTGCCTGGGTCTGAATGTACGCTCTGTACTTGATCCATCGCTCGAACCCTCTGACATGGACGTAGTTCTGGTTCAGCGACTTCATCGTCGTCTGGCGTATCTGGGCACTGTGGGCCGATAGTCGCAAGATGTGGTGTATCCGAGCGTTATCGTGCACACTGGTCTTGGGTGTCGTCGGTGCGTGACCGATCGTTCTTGCAAGCAATCTACGATCTCAATCAAGCATTCGCAGTGGGTGGCCTAACAGACTTCATACAAGACCTTACTATAACGGTCGATCTTAGCTACCCGACTGACGGGCAAGGAAGGTACTACAATGAGCCATCTCCTTTCTATGCGAGTGCCGCCGGTGAAGTTGCAGCCTTGTTCAGCGGCGTTCTGAACATATGGTGTGTGGCACTTGCCTTCGTCAAGCTTTGGTAGGTGATAGCTCTACCTCCTCCCATAGAAGCACTTCACGACCCCTCCTTTAGGCAGATACGATGTCTACAGGCCATCATAGGTCACCATGTTCGAGATAGTCGCGCAGGTCGGCTTCTCATTATACTCTGCTTCAGCGGGCTAGCATACTGCGCTTTCTGGGTGAGTCTCTTTGTCTGGCCTCTCACAAACACGACTCAACGTGTGCCGAAGGTGTACTGGGTGGTCACGAGCGCTATCAATCAGGGTCCCGGGCTGAACCAAACACTGCTTCTGTGCAACAATGCGGCCGCGGTTCAGATCAATGTGAGCTCTGCAACCATCGATGCATCGTACCGCCCCTGACCCGCCGCTATCGGACAGGGTATATATCCCACCTTTGTGATCACCAGCCTGTCTTTGCAACAGGCGAATACCACAGACGACCATCTATTACCGACCGCAGTACTGTCATCCGTTGTTGATCCGCTCGTACGATCTCAAAGCACGCAACAGTTTCCTTCGAGGCAGGGGTCCTTGATGTCTATGATGACCCTAGCGAGCAATACATAAACCTTCACTATATGCCGATAACCGCACTGTCTCTTCGCACTCGATTTCCTCCAAGGGACACCAGCACGCAACATCGCCTGTCTAGCTACGCTGATAAGATCATGGCCGGCCGCTGTTGTTGTTCGCTTGATCTTGTTCACAGTGGAGGCGTTAGCAACCAGTTCTGCTATTGTCGGTAGTAGCGATTGGCTGCATGGAGCTGTGATCGTATGTCCCAGTAACTTATACTATAAGATCTATGCGCGGGCTCTGCCGTGAAACGTCCTTCTTCGCGTCTAGGTCTTCTGTGCTCTATCATGAGCACGTATGTGATCGTTCCGTTCTCTATTTGAGGGTATACCCATTGAAATAACATCTACAGTCAGTGGATGTGGACTGTTGTCAGATTATACGTACCTTCCATCTTCACTCCCGCTCCCTTTGTTGCAGGATCATGTTGACGAACTCGGAGTTTCTGTTACATTCCACGATGGTATGGGGATTCTGGCGCTTATAGTACTCGAACATCTTGTCACATGCCTCTCTATATACCACGCATCTTCCGCTGGAGCGCGCTGGCTCTATTTGCCAGGCTGCCCTGTACGTTGCTGGTAGTAAGACGCATCCGGTCTGGGTCGGGTTGGCCATGAAATGCGCGGGAAAGTTAAGCGGTGATCGATCCGAATTCCGATCAGGCCCCGGCAAGCGACACCGAGGTTGACCTGCACGATCATGGCCTACCGATTCTCATCATCCTCCAGTGTGGCCGCCGCCCGGCCCAACAGTATAGCTGCATGTCTGACTCTACCGCTCTGCTGTGGTAAAGACCCGAAGCCGAAGATGTCACATAAGCCGCTCGCGCCGCTGAAACTTATCCTCGCGACTTCTCGACCCTGAATTTTATACTACATAGACGCTTTCGTGCCCTCAGACGGCCCTTAGTCTTGTAGGACGCCCGCTGGGTTACCCAGTCTCTGTGTCTCATGAGTGCTTAGGCGCCCTCTGCGGCGTATTGAGTGCTGAGTGCTGAGCTGGTCTTTCATGCTCCGTTTCGACAGGGACTATAATCATCCCGTGTCTCTCGGCGATAGTGGCTATGTTTTAATGAAATTTACGCTGTCATGCCCCTGTGTTCTACTCCACGCTGGCATCCTTCCATTCGTCGGGACTCGTGTATACTGTACGCACCATATTGAGTTTCCCGGATATGACACGACGAATGACAGGTTTTCAAGAGCGAAGAGCTTGAGAGCCCTTGTCAACGCCGTCACCAACAAGTTTCGATCCAGCATAGGTTCCTACCACGTTCATTGTTCTCTCTTCCCCCGGAGCGTGGGGCGACACGATGCTTATGGGTGTTCAGCAAGCAGATTGCAGTGAATCGACGTCATAATACAAGGCTTTGACGCTCGAAAATCCCTGACGAAACACGGCGTGAATTTGCCGTACATCTGTGCGTTTGCGGGATCCCGTTCTCAGGGTTGACTACCACAACATCCATCGCTGTAGTGAATGATCATTCAGATCAAATACAACAGACACTCGGGACTTTCTCTGCGCGGGGGTGGCTTCTGCGGCTCAGGTCGGTGCATGCGATTCACACGTCCAACAGTTTCTTACACGATTGTCCGAATACTTAGATACAGGAGCCCATTGTCCTCGTCACCAACCCACCCCCTTGCAACCCAGGCTATTCGCTCTATCGCTTGCACAGTCTCAACATGTCCTCGATCCACACCATCCAACTCAAAACTGCTCTGAAGGACGCCAGAGAAGCCTTACCCGCCGTAATCCTAGGAAGCTACCTCTTCGGTGAGTCTATGACCATCACACCGTTAGACGAAGGGCTCCTGCGATTCCTTATTCTTTAGGTGTTTTCACGCTCCTTGTGGCCTTCTCAATTCATATCCTGCGGTGAAGTCTTGCATTACTCTCTGTCTATTGCTTGACCAGTACTGACCTGATGCAGGCGAAAAGGAATACGCACCCGCGCTTACGCCGCCATGCTTATACTCATCGTACTCATGTACTTACTAGCGGCGACTTCCTGGGCAATTCTTGCCTCTGTGCTGCTGCGAGTTGTTGAGGATCCCCAAGAGTACGCACACCAAGAAGCAAGTGCTCTCATCATCAAGGATAAGACACTCCAATGGTGCCTGGGTCTGAACGTATTGATTTCGAGCTCTATTTTGCCACTCGTCTCATACGCTGAATTGTATCCAGATCTTCATGAGTGATATCATTCTTGCCTGGAGGACGTGGTCGCTATGGTCGGATAGCCGTAAAAGAACATGGATAGGCGGAATCGCAATAATTCTGCTGTTCGCAACAGCTGGTACGTGTATCTCATGTCTTGGGCGAAGTAGCCACTGATATCACCTTACCAGTCGCGGGCACGGCAGATCTGGGCATCTACAGCCTTCATACCGTCATCCCAGACCAGCAGAACGATGGCGCGCTAGGTTATGACAACGTACCATCCGTCCTCTATGCAAACTTCAGTGGCGATATAAGCGTCGTGTTCAGCGCGATCTTGAACGTTCTGTGTGTCCTTTTCACCGCGACGAAGATACAGTGCGTTTCGAGTCGTTGTGATCTGTCACCGGATAGATCAGTGACATGCATGTTGCATCGTCTGTAGGCAACTCAAGATACTGCAGAGGTCCATTGATCGCCGTCTCTCTAACAACCGCATTGGCAGGATCCTCTTCTTGTTGGTATCATGCGAGCTAGTATACTGCATCTTCTGGGTAAGCGCGTTTACACCTTGCAAACGTACGGGCCGAGGATCATGGGGCGACAGATATACTGGGTCGCCATCAGCTTTCGAGACATAGGCAGCGACATTCCCGACCTGAACGTGACGCTCCTCATGTGCAACAACACTGTCGCCGTACAGATCAACGTGAGTGGACCCTTCCACATAGCCTTAGCACCCTGATCACCCTCTACGGCGCGCAGGGAATCATGCCAACCTTCGTCATTGTATGCGTATCACTGCAGCAAGTCAACGCCCACGACGAAATGCCCTCGTCCGTGCCGGTACGACGTCGACCGGCTTCACAATTGACATTTGCGATAGATCTCCCTCGCCCGCATTCCGTTGCTACCTCCACAATGGCTGGCATGGATCGTTGTGAGCGGGCGGGTTTGCGCGGGAGCACTCTGGCTGGCGGGGACGCGTACGAGTTAGCCCGCTATCAGAGACCTCGATCCCTTGTATCCAACGAAACCTAATGCCCACGGGCCCACGGGCCAAGGCCACAGTGCGGCGCCCCTTTCGCCGAGCGGGAGAGGTCGAATAGACTATAACCAATGTCCAGTATCAGTATAGATATACGCTAAGCATGTCGCACATAACGAGGACTCGTCCAATGAACCTACCCAGTGACTTATGCCACAGTAGCTGTCACTCGATCTCGAGTGAGTTACGTCGACAAAACAGGCCCGCGTACGCTTGTCGACCCTCATGGGGGCGGGCATCACAGGTAGCGCCAACTCCCTTGGAAGAGTAGAAAAGAATATGTCGAAGAAGTTTGACACCGACCGACGTCCAAGTGGGCCGATAGCATATATCACGCGATGAGCATAATGTTGATGTGAGCCCCGTAGGGCAGATGCCATAGGAAATGTCAAAACTGTAAAGTACAACCGAGACGATACATGCGCGACAACAGAAGAACGGGAGATGGACACCGAAGCAAGAACGACAACAATGAGAGGGGCCAATTACTTGGCGCCAGCGCTGGAGAACTGCACACGACATCAGCATGAGAACGACGGTCATTGAGTGCATGCATGAACGCACCTTGGTGACCGACTTGGTACCCTCGGAGATGGCGTGCTTCGAAAGCTCACCGGGCAGGATAAGGCGTACTGCGGTCTGGATCTCGCGGGAAGAGATGGTCGACTTCTTGGAGTACGATGCAAGCTCTGGAGATAACATGCTTCAGCTAATATTCGCAAATTGAACCGCAGCGAACACGTACTGGATGCCTCAGTTGCGATGCGTTCGAAGATGTCGTTGACGAAGGAGTTAAGGATGGCCATCGCCTTGTTGGAGATACCAGTGTCGGGATGGACCTGCTTAAGGACTGCAGCGGATGCGCGTAAGTATAAGGCGTGGCGAGTGGCATGCGAGCGATGAACTAACCCTTGTAGATGTAAGAGGAGTACGTCTCCTTGCGGACCTTGCGACGCTTCTTCTTCTCGCCGTCAGCGGGTGCCGCCGCCTTGGTCTTCTTCGCGGCCTTGGAGCCCTCAGAAGTCGTCTTGGCCGGCGCCTTGGAGGCGGTGGATGCGGGAGCCTTGCCGGCGGTGGATGCGGGCTTGGGTGCCATTGGTAGAGTTGGTGAGTTGGGTGAGGGAGACGGCGGGGTGGTGGTGGTAGAGGAGCAAGAGACGCAGACGCGGTCGACGATTCCTCTGCCGCGTCTTAAGTACCTCAGCGTGCGAAGAATCAACGGTTGGCACGTGGGATCCTCGAATTGTTGATTGTTCGCACGCATCGAGCGTACCACATTGCCGTCCAACGACGCGTTTGTTCCCTTTACCTGGAGCTCGTTGTGGTTCCAGAAGTTCAATTAATGCAGCAGATATCTAATATCACCATCGTACGATGCAGATGCCTGCACAGTAAACCCTCGATTGAGCGGTGTCTTCAAATGTCTTGTATACGCTGATGGTTTCATTGGGATCGCGTGCCACAGATACTATGACAGACCGCAGACGTAGTTACAACCTGGACACGAGACAGCGCTCACGTATACGCGAGAGGTGTTACAACATTATTATCACTCAATCTATCGCCACAAACGCTATTGGGGCTAACTGGGACCATCGTCTTCTCGTGCGGTGAAGCACTACTGCCGAGCGCCAGCAGCTGCTTCTCCGTGTTACGGAAGCATCGCAGCGAGGCCGCAAGGGACGAGCCACAACAGACCATGCGAGTTTGTTGAACGCGATCAACGATCACCGAAACGCACGTGACCGCCTTTACCGACCGCTCTAAAGGGCGGCGCGCAACTTGCTTTCGACCTTCATCTCCCTCGCGTCCTCGCCCACCTTACGCTCCAACCACCACCACCTCACCCACCAACTTCTCCCATCGAAATGTCTGGTAAGGGCGGCAAGGCCAAGTCTGGTTCCGGCAAGGCGTCGGCGACCGAGAGCACGGGCAAGTCCCAATCGCGCTCGTCCAAGGCGGGTCTCCAGTTCCCCGTCGGCCGTGTCCACCGTCTCCTCAAGCGCGGCAACTACGCACAACGTGTCGGCGCGGGTGCTCCTGGTACGCTACTTATTGTCGCACGATGTCCCTGAATCTTACTGACTCGCGCGCGCCACCTTTTCAAAGTCTACCTCGCTGCCGTTCTCGAATACCTCGCCGCTGAAATCCTTGAGCTTGCTGGCAACGCCGCACGCGACAACAAGAAGCAGCGTATCGTTCCTCGCCACCTGCAGCTCGCCATCCGTAACGACGAAGAGTGAGTATCCATTCTTCTGTATTCAAGTCCAGATACTGACATCGCACCTTTCAGGTTGAACAAGCTCCTCGGCGACGTCGTCATCTCGCAGGGTGGTGTCGTACCCTTCATTAACCCCGAACTCCTTCCCTCCAAGTCCGCGAAGGGCAAGAAGGGCGAGAGCCAGGAGGTTTAGATCTCTCGACTCTGACTCTTATTGTGGGCTTCGGGATTCGCGTCTGTTTGTTCGCACTGTATCATCATCTGTATTAGTAGTGTTTCTTACCCTACCATATTCCCTCGCGTTGTGTACTTGGCTCTGACCGACACGCGCGGCATGACCATGATCTATGCATAACATGCCATACTTTCCTCGAGTGAGTCTGCAATGCGACGCGAGCGGCGTATCTAGACGCGCGTCGAGGATCTGAACAAGTGACAAGTCGACAAACGCGCGTCGCGCCAAATATCAGTCAGGCTATGTGCCACGACTTCCTGCTCTGCTCCTGGCGTCGCGGTTCTCGGCAATCTGGCCAGCATTGAACGTCTTGCAATTATATAACACGGGGCTCCAGACCATGCGATCTCTTGCGCTCCAGTACCTTGACGTCAAGTAGTACAGCCCTCCAGTGATATAGCCACCAGTCAATAGACTATGATGCCGCCAAGGTCCTCGGGATTGTCAGGCCTTGATCATTTGCGAAATGAGGCGGCTCCGGAGAGGTCATCGCAACTTTGATTCGACCTTCATCTTCTCTTTCTCGTCTCCGCTTCACGCTTGTGTTCCGTGTTTGACGACTCGCGATGCCGGTCCTGTCTCGCTACACGCTCCCGTCGACGGGCGAGGGTTATTACAACCTTCCCGAGCTCAGGTCTACCGTCGGCCAAGCCATATTATTCTCTTTCTTGTTCTGTGCGTCATTCTCTCCTCGATATGCCCCCCTCAGATTTGACGAGACCGACATGCACTAGGTTTTCTTACGGTCGTAACCGTCGCAACAATACGCTCTCTCTGGCGCAACGACCTCCGCACATGGACGAACCGTTTGATGCTCGCCCTCCTGCTTTCCATGTACGCCAACACGACCGTGATGTTCGGTATCTTCATGTACGCTACCCGACGCGTGGTGAACTCGCTGGGCCGGGACGGCAACGTCAACCTCAGGGTTGACACGGAGGCCCAAGACAATATTGGATATATATTCTTCGCGTTCTTCGCCATCAATGTACGTTACCGAGTCACTTCAATTCGTCCCATTACGTGCTCACCTTATCCTCCATAGGCTATCTGGGGCGACATAGTACTGATACATCGTACCTGGGTCTTGTGGCGAGGCAACAAAGCCATCCTCTCAATCTCCGTGCTCCTGCTCCTCGCCGCCATTGGTACGTTGGCATACTTACTGTTGCCTCCAAATCACTCATCGCACAATCATTCCTCACAGGCACATGGATCACCGCGATCCTCATCGACGGCGGCCTCTACATCTCCTCAGCACCATCTATGGCCGTCAGCGGTTGGTCCACCTTCGCCATCGCCTTCAAGACGACGCAACACTGGCGTATGCGACGCGCCCAAGTCCATATCGTGTCCCGGCGTACCAAGCTCGAAGACGTCCTGACCACCCTCATCGAATCTGGGCTGGCATACACTATTCTCTGGGCGGTCTTCTTCGCTGAGACACTGGTATCATCCGGAGATGAGCAAGGGACGAATAACGCGCTGGCCTGGTTGCAGGTCATTATGGCTATCGCCGTGCCCATATACCCGATGTGGATCCTTATGGTCGTGGCGAGCGCGAAGGATGAACCGAGTGCAGGCGGTCTGAGGACGCTGGACCCGGTTACGCTGGGCGGCACTACGGTTGACATTTCCATGGAGGACTATAAGGTGGTTAGGACGCAGGAGTCGCCCAGAATAGGAGGGAGGAGTGCAGATGCGTAATGCCGGTCTTCCATCTGACCATGTCACACAGACTATATACCTAACTTATATGCTTTGCTTTTCCACGACACGCTATGTATACCCACACACCCTTCCTACTGTACAGCTGCTCTACGCAATGCACATATTGACCGATAACCTGCCCATCCTTACCTCAGGTCTCAGCCCATAGTTCCCATCAGGCGAGATACACTTCAGGCCAGTCCTGTACTCGGTACCCCTCTCCCGCTCACCTCATGTAGCCGCTCTGCACCCCACTTCCCTTCGCCTACTTCCGGACCCACTCGCATTCATGTCCTTCGGCGCTACCTTCTCACACCGCCTGTCAACGTCTGCGCCCTCCGGTGGCAGAAGCAGCTTCGAACGAGGAATCGCGGACCTCGAATGCCGCTTGCGGTTCGTTTCTTGCCGCGTACTAGAGTGGAGGCAGTACGGCGACATGGATGACCAGAGCGTGTGCAAGACATTCCGAAGGTACCTCTGCGACGAGATCGAGAAGCAGATATTGGCAAATGTGAAGGTACGTACGGTGTCCTATCCTTCCTTCACCCGAATACTGATGCGGCTCATCTCAATGGACGAACAGCTCTCCGCTTCCTTGGTCCGTCGCTGTGAGATCGCAAGCCAGCACGTACCCCAGTCGTGGGCTAACCTTAAGCCCTTGAATGTCGTCGCTGAGAAGTTGGAAAGGCACATCGCCGCGGGCGGACGCCACCTCGAAGTCTGGCGCGACAACATCATCTACTTAACCTCAGACTACGTCGACGCCTACTGCATGGAAGTCCTGCTGGACCTGGTCAGAGACGAGACTGCGACACTGCTCGTACGCACCTCAGAGCTTCGCACCATCGAGGCGGAGCTGTGTGGTATCATCAGTACCGCCGAAAGTCTAGGGCCTGCGGGGCTCAGCATATTCACTACTCGGCCGGTGAAACAGTTGAATACTGGGCCTCCTAGCATGTACGGAGCCCAGATCATCTCTTCGCTCGCGTCCTCGGGCTATCATACATTCCATGCACCTCAACGGGTCAAACGAGGCTCCGCATCATAGTGTTCATTCCAGGACCGCACCTGTACCTGCTAGTTCTCCCCGAGTCTCTTCACTGTGTCAAAGATCCTACAAAGGGCTCGCCAGTATCACGGATGTCGCTTCCTTAACTCGATGATAGTCGTGAGATCTAGGCTGTATGACGCTGCGCATGCATGAATGAAACAGCCACGACCGTTGATGTTTGCGCCACCCTTCGCACGATCGCTCAAGCTCTCGAAGCGTATACCGGGTACCCGAGTTGTCGAAAGAGGCGCCGTGCTAAGTTTGACCTCCTCGCACCTCAATGGCCTCTGCGTTCGATGCTGCCCCAGTCGAATCCGAGGGTCGTCATTGCGGCGAGCCTCTATGCATCTATATGTGTATATAAGACAAGTGTAAGCGTGCCGTACAACCATCCATCATCGTGCAAACATGGCGTACCAAGCGCACCCGCAATACTTCCACAACTCGGTGTACGATACATTCGCCCACGGCCAACGTGCGACAGACAGTGGGCCGTTCGCTGTGGGATCCGTACTAGACGCGGCTGAGTCGATTACGGATCCCACGGTGAGCGACCCAGTATCTGCCCCAGGTCCTGCCGAGAGCATGATGGTCCCTCTAACCATGAATCGAGCAGCTGATCGCCTCACATGTCAACGAGACCCACAACGATCGACATACTCGCAATGCACTGGCGGTCACTCTGGCACCCTGTTTGACATACCACTGCAAGCCGAGTGGTCGGATCTGTTTGTAAACGACAACCTCCTGTCGGGTACGTTTTGGTACGCATCATGAAGGCGATATCTCAATGGTGCACGATTAGCTACCTCGGCGACAGGGTACGGACCGGAAACCGTTTACAGTTACGAGTTTGGAGGACCCAGAAGCAGTGAGCTACACTGCCTCCGCTGGATAGTCACCCTAACTCATCAACTGGAAACGGCTTCCCGTCGCAGAACCGCAGAGCACCGTCTTTGAAGAGCTGCGGTGCATTGTCCCCGTTCCGTACACGGCGGAGCCCGCGAGCCACCTCGTGCAGAGTGGCTCAGCGCCCTGTGATGATGGACTGGAAAGGTATGAGTTCGGCGCTCCTATCTCATCCAATGAAACAGCTCACCGTGCCCTCAGCATTTTGAGCCAGGTCAAAGGCAATTCGGAGAAGGGAAATTGTGAAAGACACAGTGCCATCTCCTTAAAGCCATGGAAGTGCGAGCTCAATGGGTGCGGACAAACGTTCACTTCGAAAAGAGCGCGAACCAGGCATGGCGAGACCGCTCTGAAGCATTCAAGCCGTGGCTTCCGGTGCTCGGTAGCGGGTTGCGGTCGCGAATTCACAAGGCGTGACCTCATTAGGCGCCATATGTCGTCGCACAACCGCCCACAAGCTGTCGAGCTCGTCATGTAAAGCTAGATTTGATGTTTGGCTTAGTCCAACAACCGTGGTCCGCAGGAAATGACGTATATACTTCAGAGCCTCTGTACAGTCACGCCTTGGGTCCCCCAATGATCGAGGAGGGGTGGATTTATTTCTTGCTGGCAAGAGGCCCAAGACATCATGTCTCGGGAAGCAGGTTCCTAGTTGTTAATGCAGATATCGCGTCCTCGTTACCCTTGTTCGCGCAAAATACGAGAACCAAGAGCGCGATGATAGGTTATGGTCCCTCGTGGATGGCCTATTGGGCACTCCAATTCGCCTAGGCTTCTCTCCCGTTCTGAATTATGGTCGTGTAGAAGATTGATATTTAGAGCACTTGGCGAGCAAGACTTCTGCGAGCGTGGAATTCACACAGACCCGCGGAGAGTCAAATTGATGTAGTGTATCCCAGTAACAGTACTGCCTTGCTGGATATGGTGGCGGTGGCGGTGCAAGCCACGAGAGCTGACGGTGCGGCCACTTCCAGCACCCGGCCCGATATTGCCGGTGATTCACTTTCGGCAACATATTGAAACGACCGTTGACGCTGCGTACGTACCAGTGCAAGTCTCCCCATCTCACGACGGGGTTTTGTATAGACACGCAATGCGATATATATGACCCATAAACAAGAATACATAGAGTGTAGACCCAATAGGAAAGCCGAAAGCCAGTATGTGTACAACAGGGCGTGAGGAGGATTTTGTTCACCGAAGTGCCGTGCAGGCGCTTCTTCGTTGGCCTACTGGTACACCTTGACCCAAGGCAACTCGAAGTATGCATTGGCGAATGCCGACGGGTTGTTGCTGACGTAGTCTATAGGACCATCAGCCTCGTGTCGGACATGAAGACGAATGTGTTCCTTACCGTTGCAGGTGCTGGGGCACCCAGATGCAGCGTAGACATCAGAAAGACCGGCCCATTGACCGCAGAAGGTCAAGTCAATAGTCTGTGTGGGTTGAGATCAGCTTGTGTAGGGCTTGTGTGCCCACGAAAGGCGTACCAGCCAGTGGGGGCCGAACTCAGAGTTAATGTTGCACTAAGATATTGCGTGTCAGTGCAGATCATGCGATATACACAGTCTACTCACGTTGGTGTTGGGGAAGTAAGAGTCAGGGGTACCCTGATACGAGAAAGTGAGACTACATTGGAAGTGCAAGAGGTGGCTGCGTACCCAGTTGTCCGTGTTTACGGTGCTTCCACCCGCGCTGACATCAGACGGTATGGACGACCCTCTCGGCCAGAACCAGACCTTGACGAAGTCCGCCGTGCGCTCCATGCCAAAGAATCCACCGCCGTTGGCATTGCTGTGAACCGTTGAGAATCGTGTACGGTAGTAACGGCAAAAGAACTCACAAGTCAGGGCCGTATGACTTGGACACACCCGAAGAGACACTGCAGCCGGTACCGGAGTTGCAGTCGGTCTCACCAGCCTTAAACGTACCGAGCATACTTTGCGATGTAGGCATGGTGCAGCTAGGACCCGTGTGCAGGGTCATGGAGTTAGGGCCTTGGTCGTTCACACCTTCCAGAATATCAACCTCGCCCTGGCAGACATCAGTTAGTCAAACCAGCCACGCGGAACGGCGCCTGTGGGAGACTCACAGTATATGGCCAGTTCGCTCCGTATTCCCATAAGGCTGGCCTGGACGGAGACAGGTAAGAGGGGGCAATCGTGCCGCAGATGTGACGCAGCATACCAAGTACCACATCCGGTCGGCATGTGATTCACGTTCCATCTATAGACCAGTAAGCTACGTGATCAAGATGAGGTATCAAAAGACATACACCGTAACATGCTTGTCGTAGGTAGCGACTGATTCCATGCGCACAGACTTGCGGCCTGCACCACCGGTCAGGACCGTCGTGGCGTCGGCCTTAGTGCGGAAGTTGCCGTTGACGACGGAGACGAGACCAAGACTCTGCGCGTCTGCGAGGCTGACGTAATCGACAAGACCACCAGTCGGATCCGGCTCGCTGATAACATTGAAGTCGGTCAAGAAGGCATTGCCCTCAGTTGATTTGACGAGCGAGTACGTGGCCGCGAGTGATTGACCGGCGAGCACAAGAGGAACAGCAACAGGGAAGAACGAAGAGAGCATGGTGACGACGGTTATTCCCGATATCGACGGTAAGCCTGAGGGAGGGGGATGAGGAAGTTGGGCCGTCGTATGGCGACATTTATAGATTCCTGTAGCACTCGCGGAAGGTCATTGAAGCACAAGCTGCCCAAGGCCAAGGAGGGTGACGGCGTTGTAGGCAACACACCCTGAATGTTCATGTGCGTGTTACATCTTGTCCATAAGGTGTTCCGTGTGGCCCATCAGACCGATGGTAGCTGGTTCTCGCCAGCCGCGAGTGATTGTCGGTCAAGTGAGACTGGCTCAATGAGGGCACAGAGCATCTGGAAGGGCTTCCCGCGTTCGCAATGGGTAAATCGGGCACAATATAATGCCAGTTGCCTGCGTTCGGTGGCGATACAGCAAGTGCTCGGGCGTCCGGTGACCCTTCGGAGAATCAAGGAAGTGGATGGTCCTCGGAAGACAACGCTGAGACGTTACTACGCTTGCTGGCTCAATGTGGGTGTCATAGGATTGATATCACGAGCTGCCGTGTGCTGATTGATCAGTTCCACGCGGAATGCAAACCAGGGCAAGGCCCTGCTATTAAGCATTCAAAAGTCTACTCATCAGCACGCTGACATGACGCTTCATGGCTGCACGGGGAATACTGGTATATGAACATATATGAGCGCACAATACGACGTGATCGGCAGCAACGAGCGACGAACGGGTGAGGTATCGCTCGAGGCGTCAGGATTGAGTCCTGGGGTGAGACGTTAGTCGTGTCCTATTCAACGTCGTAATAGGTTTGAGCGAGTCTCATCTAGCCTTTGGGCCAATCTGAAGCCTATGTGATCGGTGGGTGAGCGCGACTCAAGAGTTGAAAGATGCGCCGCTCGGACCGGGCGTTGGCTGCGCATAAAGATACCGCAACAACAGGCAACAACCCCGTACACGACCTTCGGACCGCGGAAGCTCACGAAGAGCTACGTTCTCAATATTTCGTGCACGGCCGGCATACCCTCCAATTGGGTCTGGCGACGATCGTACGCGGAACATAGGGCTACCGGTCGCATCTGAACAGTACTGAAGTCCGATGGCCAAGACTTGACCGCGTTATTTTGTCTATGTGCTGACAGGGCAAAGGCATGAGCCTCGTGCTGGATGGAGATCGCAACAAGTGCGAGCACACTGCTTTCGTCACCATAATCATGAGTGACGGGTTTTGTAGCGCGCACAAAGCGGTGTATCACGCAACCCTCTGCAAAGCCGGTCCAGTCTCGAGTCCGAGGTGCTCCATCTGACCCGTCTATTGAATGGGCTGTTCTGTCGATGCCCTCGAGCCCGCGCATTGCGATGTGGTGGGAAGCAAGACGCAGCAGGACGCCGCGCGGCGCGGCGACCTTGGGCGGGAATCGGGATTGATTGTGTTGATGCCGAGAACTAAGCCAGTTCAGACCGACCACATCACCTTCCCTCCGTCGTCCGACCTCGCCCGACCTCGACTAGACTTGAGTTCTGACTGAGCTGATGGAGGTCGCGCGTCGCAGCCGAAGCGCGTGCCGAGAACGGGTGCCCTCAGCAAGCCTTGCTATTGCAGGACTCACAACCTCGCGAAAGGTGCTGCTCCTGCGCGCAAAAAGGCGTCTCACGCCTGTCTCCAAGCTTCTTGGAGGGGCCGAGAGAAGCAAAAGTACGCAAGTGTATGCCGCACGTAGCAGGCTCCACCGAGAGCGACTTGGAATTGCTCGAGGTCTGCTCTATTCCACTACTACTAAATCCGTAAGAGTAGGCTCTGCTGTACTCACATCAACGGCCCGATGGGCCACCTTCGGCATAGTAGTGAAGGAACACGTACGAGAGCCACGACATAGGGTCTACCGCCTCAGATGTACATTCCGTACAAGCACGCAATGTGATAAATATGGCCAATAAAAAGTAATACATATGAAGGGTATGCCCAATGGGAGGATGCAATAGCTATGCGTATGATGAGAAGGGAGGCGATAATTTTGTTCTCTTCGGTAACCTGCCGGCTGCGTCTTGCTTACTGATACACCTTGACCCAAGGCAGCTCGAAGTATGCATCCGAGAACGCCGACGGGTTATTGCTAACGTAGTCTAAGCAGGGGTTCATCAGTAAACGAGTGGATAAGCTAGCGGAAGCGCGACATACCGTTACAGGTGCTAGGGCATCCAGATGCAGCGTAGACATCGGAGAGACCAGCCCAAGAGCCGCAGAACGTCAAGTCAATAGTCTATACAGGCATCAGTGAAGAACTTCAACGATGACACAGAGCATTACATACCAGCCAATGGGGACCGAATTCAGCGTCAATATCGCACTAAGATGCGCGTTAGGACAGCCTAGGTCAAACAGCAACTACACTCACGCTCGTGTTGGGGAAGTAAGAGTCAGGTGTGCCCTAAAAGAAGGTTCAGCAAGATGTTGAGATCTCACGAAAGAGCGACGCACCCAATTGTCCGTGTTCACAGAGTCAGCACCTCCGCTAACATCAGAGGGGGTGGTGGCGCCCCTAGGCCAGAACCAAACCTTGACAAAATCCGCCGTGCGCTCCATGCCGAAGAATCCACCGCCGTTGGCGTTGCTAGACATTGGTGAGCGGCATGCTCTGGTGATTTGTATAACAAGAAACGTACAAGTCGGCGCCATACGACTTGGACACGCCCGAGGAGACACTACAGCCGGTGCCCGGGCCAGTCGGAGACGAATCACAGTTCGTCTCGCCAGCTTTGAATGTACCGAGCATGGTCTGCGAAGTAGGCATCGTGCAGCTGGGACCCGTGTGTAAAGTCATGGAGTTGGGACCCTGGTCATTCACCCCTGGCCAGCGGAATCAGAATTTGAAATGGGCAAGCAGTGAAGCTCATGGCATACCTTCCAAGATGTCAACCTCGCCCTGTAACGAAGTCGTCAGTCAGACCATATGCGAAAAGTACATTCCTTAGCTGCTCACAGTGTATGGCCAGTTGGCTCCATACTCCCATAAGGCTGGCCAAGTTCCACATCCTGTGGGCATGTGATTGACGTTCCAACTACAGCCAAGTAAGTTGCGTGATCAAGATGAGAGTTCAAAGACATACACTGTGACATGTGTGTCGTATGTAGCGATCGACTCCATACGCACGGACTTGCGACCGGCACCGCCAGTGAGAACGGTTGTGTCGTCGGCCTTTGTACGGAAGTTCCCGTCGACTACGGAGACGAGACCCAAGCTCTGCGCATCTGCGAGTGTAACATACTCGACAAGACCGGCGGTTGGATCGGGCTCGCTGATAACATTGAAGTCGGTCAAGAAAGCATTGCCTTCCGTCGAGTGAGCGAGCTTATAGGTAGCTGCGAGGGACTGGCCGGCGAGGGCGAGGGAGACGGTAACGGGAAGCGCCGAAGAGAACATGGCAAGAGTACTCCCGGGATGGACAAGGAGGGGGACGAGAAGCGATGTCGGTGAGACGTCGTATGGCATCCTTTATAGACGCCCGTAAAGATAGGAAAAGTTTGTTGAGCTTCGAGATGTCCCTGCAGGCCGAGTAAGATGACGGCGTAGTACACGCGTAGTAGGCAACACACCCTGGATGCCCATGCGCGTGTAACATCTTGTCCATAAGGTGCTGCGTCTGGCCCATCAGACCGCCTGTCGATGCTGTTAGCCGGCTGTAGATTCTCGATCAGGCGAGGAAAGATCAACGAGGACGCAGATAATGGCAGATCCAGATCGACATCATGCCAGTAGACTACGTTCAGCGGCGATACGAGAGGTGCTTGCGCATCTGTTTCCTCCGTGAAGTGAGGGACTGGATAGTCCTCTGGATGCGGCGCTGTAGCTTTGCTTCATCCATTTGCCGAATATGGACATCATAGGATTGATATCACGAGCTGCCGCATGCGAGAGTTGATCGTCTCCATGCGGGAGGCAAACCAGGGCGAGGCCCTACCAGGAAGCATTCTAACAATGTACCTATCGGCGCACTGAAATAGCCTACGGCTGCGCGAAGTATATCCGAGCATGAAGTTATAGTAGAGCCTGGTTGCCAGCAACAAAGCCCGACGAACTTGCTGTCGACATCATATACTGTCGCCAGAAAGGAGCCTGGGCAGCGAGCTTCAGGTAAAACACCAGGTCGACTGATTGTGGCCCTAAGGTAGCATAAATGGAGAGCGCAACTCATCGCGGCGTCGAAGGATGTTCGGCCGGACCGGGTATTGACTGCGCACCAAAGATACCGCGACCACGTACGCGACTGTCGGGCCGCGGTCGCTGCCTCTGCTATCAAGTAGCCGCAGCGTGATCTTGTGCGATGGGGCATGCCTTGGTAAGTATGCTCTCATACGCATACGCTCAAGGATCAAGATACGCTTGTCCGAGGGTCGGAAGCTGCACCAGTCCGTCGGCTAGCTGGGCAATGGCCCGGTCGGTCGAGGGGTCGAGG